TCGGAAAATGTTGCTTTGCTCCCAATGCTCTCTGAGGAATGAGTTCAAAGGGAGCCTCCCTCCGTCCCCCCCCCGCTACCTGCATACCAAGCCAGCCACAATCACACGGAGGGAGGAAGATCCCCCAAGTCGCATAGCCACCGCGGCTGACCAGCTGACGGTGGTTGTGCTTGTGAACGGTCTTCATTCATGGAGTCAAGTGCGTCGCATCTTACGTCAGGCTACGACTGTCTTATGACATGTGAGCCCTACCCACAGGGATTAGCCCAAAGACGAGATTGACATCTCACGCAGCAGCCCCGAGTATCGTTCGTATCCCTGCCTGGCACAGGCAGGAAGAATTCAGCCCTGTTGCATGTTGCAGAGAAGCATTTTTTGAATGCGATGCCAGGAGGTTTCTGAAAGCAGAGATCTTGGATCCAAAGCATTGGTGTTTTCTTGGTGGCGCCACGCCAGCTCCATTAGCTCCGCAGAACTGTCTAGAACAGAAAATCGTGTGTGGGGATCTCTGAAGCCTCTTGGAAGCCGCCGCTGCATGTTGAGCTCGGTTCCAGTGACTCCATCCGAGATTGGGGAAACCTTCTATATGTCCAGTACTCTTTACGTGCAATGTATATGTGCATCCAGTCCTGTAGAGCCTTGATTCGCTTTTGCATCTCCTCGGGTTTCAATCTCGGTCACAGAAGGAGTCGTCTCACGGAACCTATCCTGTTGCTCTGAATGGCGCCGCTTCAGGGAATCTCTGCCGCACTTTGCGTTGGACATGCTGGCCGAGCTTCTGGCTTGCAACTTCTTGATTGCTACTGTCTCTGTTTTTTTTCGTTTCCGATGCTGCAGTCCCCAGCAGTCCCCAGCAGTCAGCCATCCTTCCAACACTTGAGACGTCCTCGACAACCCTTAGCAGCCTACCTCCCGAAGCAGTGAGACTCAGGAACGGGTGCCACGAGCAACTTAGAGCTCCAGCGGGGGCTCTTGCCAGGTGACCCAGGGTCAGTGGCCCTTGCAGGTTTAGTATTGGTGTTGCGCAGGTTGCTGCACCTCCTGCGTTTGGTCACAGTTGAGCACAGGAATGGGTCCCTCCAAAGCTAAACTCTCCCAACTGGCCCAGGTCTTCAACATGGTCAACTTTTGTACAGAAAAGACCAGATCCTGTCGCCTGGACAACGTTCGGCGGAATACCCACAAATACACACGCCTTGGCAGCTACTGTTCACGAGCCTCACCTTGGCTCAGCAAAGAAGCACAAAACACGGCTCATGAGGAGCCGAATGTAGCTGCATATGCCTCTCGAAGTCGGATCAGGTATTGCATCCAGCGCAAGGGACGGAGCAGTTCTGCCAAGAGTCGTTAAAAAACAGGCAAAACTTCGCAGAGTTGCGAAGCATGGGTGATAGGTTTCGCAAAAGTGCGAGATACTGAGAGCAGTACGATGAGAGCAGCCTAGAGAGCAGAGTGCAGAACTCAGCTTGGCAACACGCAGATGCCAAGCCCATGCTTTGCAGACGTGGTGCTTTGAGTTGATTTGCAGGATTTGGGTCGTCGAGAGACGTAGCACGAGTCTTATGAATGACATTGAATGACGCCTTACCTCAAAATGGCGGTGTGAGTTTGTAAGGAGCTGGCCATGTGACCACGAGCATGAGGTTCCTAGCTCTTTGGAAACAGGAGGGATCTTTAGCGGGAAGCCCTAAGTCAAACATAGGGGACGGAGCCTGTGTGGACCCGCTAATCACACATGTTTTCAACAGTTTTGCGTTGCCTGGGTGAGCAACATGATCACGTGCATCATGCATCAACGTGCTCTCACGCTCAATCCTCTTTCGACCCTGGCCAAGTTCAGGGGAGGGGTCGATGGGGCCACGGCGGAGTGCTTGAAAACGACCCTTATCCCAATCAGGTCATGACTCATCATGACTCATGACATTGAACGTGAGTGGTAGAAGCGGCCGTGCGAACCAGAAGCCTCGTTCGGCCTCTCCATGCAAAGTTCATAGGACCAAGTGCCAATGAGTGCCAATGCAAAGTTTATCACAGGGGGCTTGCGTGTGCAACTTGGCAACGTGGTGCTGGCAACATCTACTGTGCCAAGGGGAGCCTAGAAAGCTGCTGGCCCCAAACCCTAAACCCTAAACCCTAAACCCTAAACCCTAAACCCTAAACCCTAAACCCTAAACCCTAAACCCTAAACCCTAAACCCTAAACCAGTCGTGCAGGGTTTGGTGGAGGAAGGTGGTGGTGGAGGTGACAGAGATGGCCTCGTTGGCGCGTCTAGACGTGGGCGCGTGACATGATCATGCACAGGGAGTACTGAGGGGCATTGCTTTCCGGTTTCGTAACCTACCCTAGCTGTAAGCTCGCCCGAAAAGGAGTGAAGGGTTGTTAAAAAAAAAAAAACCCTAAACCCTAAACCCTAAACCCTAAACCCTAAACCCTAAACCCTAAACCCTAAACCCTAAACCCTAAACCCTAAACCCTAAACCCTAAACCCTAAACCCTAAACCCTAAACCCTAAACCTAAACCCTAAACCCGAAACCCTAAACCCTAAACCCTAAACCCTACACCCTAAACCCTAAACCCTAAACCCTAAACCCTAAACCCTAAACCCTAAACCCTAAACCCTAAACCCTAAACCCTAAACCCTAAACCCTAAACCCTAAACCCTAAACCCTAAACCTAAACCTCAAACCCTAAACCCTAAACCCCAAACCCCAAACCCTAAACCCTAAACCCTAAACCCTAAACCCTAAACCCTAAACCCTAAACCTCAAGTGCATCCCAGAGGCACAGTGCAGCAGTGCAGGGCTTGTCAGTACCTCTGCCAGACCACACAGCATCCGCTCTGGCTATTGAAAGCAAGGCGCAGTGTTTGTGAAGCCTGCCTTCAGCAAATAATCACCTGAAAGAAGGTCCTTGTTGCCGCTTGCAAGTTTTTTAAGGACAACATTGTACAACACTTCTTTAGTCCTCTCGAGCGCTTGGCAAGCTTTCACGGATTGCAACTGGAGCTGCCCCCTTGTGTGCAGAGAGTTTTGCAAAGGCACGGGTTCAACCAAGAGAGCGCCCAATCCCCCCTCCCCCCCAGTGTGATTTCTCCCAGTGTCTTCTTCTCCTGTATTCTCCTCCCGCATTCTCCTCCCGTATTGTCCTCCCGCATTCTTACCGTATTCTCCTCTTCGTATTCTCCTCCCGTATTCTCCTCCCGTATTCTTCCCGTTTTGTGCTTAGACCCCTAGGCCCTAGGCTCGGCTACAGCAAAGGACTCACACTCTTATTCTACCCAACCTTAGAAGGCGCGCAACTAGGGGCTCCCGCGTAGCGTAGGTCGTCCAACCGTTCAGAATGTCCCCGCAGCGCTGCCGAGCAAGCTCATGCGAGCCTTTGCTGGTACATAGTTCCATATTTCTGCACATGCGGAAGGTGGTTTTGCATTTGCAGGAACTTATGATACCGAATCTCATCAGCTCGTCAGAAAGTTACTTGGTGTCGACTTGGTGAGTAGCTGAGTAGCTTGGCAGAGCGAAGCAAGCTGACAAACGAGGTAAATTGGGTTAGGTCTCAGCGCTGCAGGACTCTGCACAGGGTGGAAAGATCGGGCTTCTTGAAAAGTCTATTGCTAGGGAATCTGAAGCGATGCCGATTCCACAAAAGCTTTAGGTTTGAAGCCTTGCTCGAAGGTTCAAGCATTCAGCATGGTTGCACTTCGAGAAGTCTGTGACAGTCTGTAGGCCTCCAGAAACTAGCTGGAGGCCTTTGCTAGCATGTGGAGACATAGTGAGCCGGGTCCGATTGGGAGCATCACCTTAGTGTCGTGCTCGCGGGCTCCTCGACGTTCACTGCGGTCACGCTGGCCACCTGCCTGGCAACTGTCGTTACTGTAGTCTCCTGTGGCACTCGGAAAGAAAATCACCCGGTCACCATCACTCACGCATGCCCGGCAGATTTTAGGGAGAGATCGAGTCCTTTACTGCGACTTAAATCAGTAAACTACATATTGGATTGCATTGTAAGATATTGTAAGATCTGCCAGGAAAAGTAGCCGTGCCCGCAAACCTCTGCAGCCGCGGCAGTTCACGTCGTTGTCAGCCCAGAAAAAGCTCCATTTTGGAACGTGTTTGTCGCGGAGCTCTTGAACTTCTCCAGAACCTCCTGAGCTCTGATCTCACCTTAGACCAAAAAAACACAGAACACCAAGCACTTGCGACAACTCGTCGACCCGGCGGTGCATGCGGTTATATGTTGCTTCGTCGAAGGCATCTTGTGGTTCTTCGGAGATCCTCTGACAAGATTTTTGTTAACCTCTAGCAGCCCTGGGGCCCTAGGGCGACCCGGAGCTCACCGAATCTTGCCTTCGACGAGCACAGTAATTTACGCAATTCGAGCCTAATGCCTGAGAAGTTTTGAAGCTGTCTGTGACATCCATGTAACATCCATGTGAGATCCATGTCTATGTCTGCCCGAGCGCTTCGCGACAAAGGGCTGCCCAAAGGGGCATGCCGTGGGCCGAGAAGTGCTCCGCGCCGGCATGGCGCTCCGGAGTGGGCCAGCTACTCTGGGGCGGGAAACTGGGAAACTGGGAAACTGGTGTGCTCTTGCCCTAATTTGACCCTTAGGAGCGCTTGAGTTGCTTTGGGGACGGTGTTTGGGGTCATGCCATGGCCCAAGTGCTTAACATGGCAACTGATCAATCAGCCTGTCTTTGGTAGGAGCTGTGCACGTGCCTCTCTCAGGGCGCCTGGACGCCGTATTGTAGGAGCCTCCCCCCCATGCCTCATCTCTGGTTTCCACATGAGGGATCCCTAGAAAGGAAAGTGACTCTGTTTGGGAAATCTGGGGTATTGGAAGGGATACCCCCCTCTTTCGGCAATGTTAAGAATTTACGGAATGTGCTTGTATTCCCAACCCTAAGGAAAGTTCGTTTGAGCAGGCTAAGAGGTCTTTTTTGGAAATCGAGTTGCGTTCTTTGGCAATCCATAGAGAGACAGAAATTCGATTGGATGTTGCTGTGAGGGTCGGCCCTCCTCGTGATGAGCACGGCTTGCCGAGCAAATCCTTCCAAAGCGTCGAGTCAAACCTCATGTGACGCTATTGGGGCTCATTCCATGTGGTCTTTGTTTTTGCTTCGCTTTCTTGAGCCTTTGGCAAGGATGTGTCATGTTATACTCGCGGGAAACGCAAAGGACACGCGGGGAGTCGCTAAGAACATGCGATTTTGCGATAAAAGTTGCATGCTGCTTTGGAGGGGCGGCATGGCATGGAGTGACAAGAAGTCAGAAGAGGAATTGTGTTCCCACCCCCTGACACAGCATCTGCTTGGGATGGAGCTTCTGGCGGTTATGGAAGCTTCTCGGTGTGTGGGAAGAAGAAGAATGGCGATAAGAGCACCGGCCGCGTAGTTGTCTGCAGCTCAAGACTGGAAGTTATCCTAGCGCCCATGGCCTTACACCGAACAAACACGGAAACTGATCGCTTGAAGGAGAGTTTTTGGCAATCACGTCCGGCTGTCCGGCTTTAGAGCTCCATGGCCCACTTCATGAACGTGCCTTGGCTGTGGAAGCTTGGCTCAAATGTGGCCAGGAACGCTGCAGGGCTGCAACCGTATGCAAGGGTCCGCGCTCCCAGAATCTCCATAAGGAAGGACAACATGGAGGTGGTTCGCGCCCAGGCCGCAGAAATCTAAGCAGAGGAGCATTCAGTATACCGAGGCTGAATTTCGCAAGGAAAAGTCAGCGAGACAAAAAACGCCGAATTCGGAAAACAGGGCGGCCGGACTTCGCAGGCAGCGGCCGACATTTAGCAAGCAACAAGGCCCGACTCAATACAAAGGCAGAAAAACCACGGATGTGTTTTTCTGCCTTTGGCATCAAAAGCATGCTAATGCTGGCTCCGCCTTTTGTCTTACTGCCTGCAGTGCAGGATAGTGCAGGGAAGCTGCGCAAGTTTTTGCGCGCTCATTGCAGAAGTGCCACCACGCAGCTTCAAGACTGGCAGAGCAATCCCGAACCCAAACCTTCTCAACCCAACATCTCAAGCTCTGCTTTCCACGTGCTGACAGTGAACAGGCAAAGCAGCAACGAGGGGAATGCAAAGGATAGTGCATGGTGCCCTTTACCAGACGATGGGGGGGGGTTGAAGGTTTAGGCGTCTCAGCTGCGACAGCAAAGTACAGTGCCACAAAGCTGACCATACCTTGTGCCCTATTGTATCAGGGCTGCCAAAACAATCTGGTACATTGACTAGTTACAAGTGTTCTTGCTCCACCACAACGCATGGCACCTCTGATGGTGTTGTGCCACGAAGCCAATTTTATTCCCCACTAAAAGGGATCTCCCAAAGGGCCCTTGCACAGCCGGCATAGGAACTTGCAATGAAAACGGATGAGCACTACAACGCGTGGCCTAAAAACCGGCCTATGAGCCTCTGTCAGCCCGTCTTAGCTGAGGCCACTGGGATGGGCGAAGCGTGTCCTGGCAGAATTAGGGCAGCTGAGCTGTTGGTGTAATATCTTATGTGTTTGGCTGATTTGAGGTACAGACCAGAAGGCATCTGCATTGTTTGGGTTGAGCTGGGATGGTCCTGTGGTTAAGTACCTGCAATGGGTGCCTTCACATGTAACTTCAATATGGTCGAATTTTTTTGGGCCTTCCCTGAGGCATCGCGCAGCTTTTCACTCAGTGTTGTCGGTGTGGGCATGCTTCGCGTCTCGGTGGAGGCCACCGACACGCCGGCCACGACCCATTAGAACCCATAAAGACCCATTCTCAGCCTTCCAAAGCCACTGCGCAGAGCCGCACGGTTGCACTTGTGTTACACACCTTGACCATGTCTCCAATGCCCGGTGGCGCAGGCAGCGCCGCCTCTGATGCGTCTGCGTGCGGAATGTCAAAGCACAGGCTCAGCGTGCCAGCGAATGGCATCGTTTGTTTCTCAGGGCTCGGTTTCCGAAGTGCCGTTGTAAACATGGAGAAGTGTCAACTGTGCTTTGCTTGCTCTCTCTCTCTCTCTCTGTTTCTCTCTCTCTCTCTCTATCTCTCTCTCTGTGATTGGAAATGACCTTGTTTGCAGCGTTCCTACTGCCTTTGTGGGTGTTTTCAGTTTATCTGGAAGCTGCATCCCAACTCCCCCCCCCATTGCATCTGTTTGTCTTCGCGCTAGTTTGAGTTGGCGGTGTCGGTGCGCCACGCCCAGATGTGTCTCCTGGAGCATCGTTCAGGAGCATGCCCCGCGCCACTCCGAGTTTGGGATGCGGAGGCCTATGGCCCTATGGGTCGCTGCAGGGCTTAGGCTTGAAGGACTTATAAGCGGGCCGAAGCTCTGCTTCACTTGTCGTTGGGAAGATGTCGGGGGACATTTCGTCCTCCAGCAGTAGTGGAATCCGAAGTCTTCGGAACGCCTCGGATATGGGGATGAGGTTCATGTGAAGATAACACATATCATGTGAAGGTTTGGGTCTGATATAAATCCACTCACCGCATCCACCTCACCTGTAAGGCCAGCCTTGCTCGGCGCGCCGCCAGCTTGCAGGCACTGGAGAATTCTGCTTTGTCCAACGGCTCGCTGGCCAGCCTAACCTGGGCAAATCATGCTTGAGAGGGGGAAGCAAGCTCCGATAGATTTTGGGTCGTCCGGTGCCGAGCGTCAGGTCGAGGCCTTGAAAGGCCCGCGAGCACTGCTCACGGAGTGTGGCCGGAGGCCAACGGGTTCCTCGTGGCTTCAAGCTTTTAAGCTTTGCGCACTTGAGGTAGTTGCCAAGACCCTGACCCTCTCTGCTTTGCTTCTCAATCTCCCTGGGCTGCAGTCGGAGTGACGGCGTGACGGCCCCCGAGCGCGCGGAGCCTGATCCCAAAAGGACGAGGAACTCTCAGCCTCCAAGCACGGGTGTGGATTGGATTCCGTGAATTTCTGTGCTCTCCATCCCAGCCTGCGCCACTTCTTTCGAAACCCTGGCAGGATCTTTCGGCTTCTTGATGCCCGCACGTGTGAGGTGCAGCGCGGTGCAGCCAGGGAGGCCTGGGTTTGAGTCGTGTTCGGGTCATTTCGCGTAGTTTTGTTACGAGGCATTATACTGTCAGCTCGAGAATCGATGGAACATTGCCCATCAACAAAACATTGTCCCATACTCTGTTTACGTGCTGTCGAGGTGATGCTTATAGTGTGGTTACAAGCGGCACTGTGCAAAGAACAGGGTTTCGCAACGCACTTTCAGCTGGGCATGTAGGTCCGTACCTGGCATCATTCCAACACAGGCCCTCTCCTTAGCCGAAGGAAACCCGCTTTCTCGCATAGCACTGAACGAATCTAGCATAGATCCGATAACGTCCATGCCTGTCTTTGCCTTAGAATGTCGACCTCTGGCCCGCCGGAGCAATCTGGCAAGCAGTGCAGTCGTCAGAATGTAGCAAGCTGCGGTCGTTTGCGCAGATTTCATCGCCGCCGGCGAAGCGCCGGAAGGGCGATGAAAGGCAGGGCTGCGGGGGGACGCAAGAGTTTCCTTCAACATTGCTGAAAACGTCTGTGCAAGGCCTCTTTTCATCAAACGCAGCTGTCCACATTGCCCACTACATGATGTAGCGTGCACATGTTTCCCCATTTTTACTCCACCTTCTCGGAGCGTCCAGTAAACTCCTTCAGTTGCTAGGCATTCCAGGATGATCTCGACGACCTCAAACGCAGCAGATTTCTATTTCGTGTGCCCGCGGTGTGCGCTCTCCGATGGTGCGCACCAATGGCGGCGCTGCGCGGGGTGGAGCGCTCCGCGGCGCTCTGTGCGCTGTGGCGTGCGATGGACCCCGCAGCAAAGCAATGCTTCTTGGTACATGTAGTACACGGCTGTCTAAAGTTGGACCATGCTGGACCTGAAACTGTGGAGTCCATGCGGCTCCCCTTGGGACTCTGTTTTTGAGAAGCGCATCCTCCAGGAGTCGGCGGCCGCCTCGCCCCTGATCAGGGATCCGATGGCGAAAGGCTTGGCCGAGGCCACAGAGAGAGAGAGAGAGAGAGAGAGAGAGAGAGAGACAGAGAGAAGCGCAGTGAAGCGCCGAGAGACCCAGCAGCAGAACATGTTGAAACAATTGAAACAACACCATATGGACACATAGTCATAAGGACGTTAGCCACAGCAGGAAGTCCGTGCACTCAAGTTCTCCAAGGCCTTCAAAGTCGTCAGGTGCTGTAAATAGCGTGGCATGCTGTGGCCTCCCCCGAGTGTGGGAATGGGGCCTCTCCCTGAAGTCTAGATAGTTTTCATCAACAGGGGGTCCGGCAGGAAAGATATCCAAAAGTAGGTACGCCGTCGTCCCTTAAACCCAAGACAGTATCCGAAAGGGTTCCTGGTGAGGCTGTGCTTGGCGACGAGGCCCATCGCTTAAGTTGCCAGGGCTGCAAGTGCCACACGTTGCAATGTGCAGGGTTGATCTCGAGTGCACCGAGTCACCGCAGCCCTGCCCGCCCCAGTCCATGTATTGATTACAATCCGGTCTAGAGTCCAGAGTCAACCCTGACGCAAGGCGCTCCTATCGACTCCATTATATACGTCTTGCGTGCCTCTGCCTAGCCCTCTACCATGCTTTGGGCTCCTCTGCCCCGTAGGGCAAAAAATGCCAGCCTATGGCTTTCTTGCTACGAGGTCTTCCAACTTTCTTGTTGGCCCAGTGGCATGTTGAGGGATCTAGATCCTAGGAGTCTCTTCGGTCAAATTGACAAAAGTCATTCATTGCACCAGACCACAAAAGATGCTTGAGCTTTCTGCAAGAACTCTTTTTGTAAGAGTCAAGAAGAAACACCCCAACTGTTAAAAGCCCAAAATCCTGTCGGAGCATTACGGTTCTTGGGGACAAGATTACCCAAGCGCCTGTCGAGTCTCGCCCAAGCAAACGTCCTGGACCCCGGCCCGCCACCGCACCCTGGCGCTCCACTTGCCGGCCTTGGAATCCAAAGATGTCCTTTAAAACTCAGGCAGCCAAGCTCCAGGCGGCGACGTTCGCTCCCAGTAATTCGTCTGCAATGATGTCGATCGAGTGTAGGCCATCCAGTGTCATCCAGTGTCATCCAGTGTCATCCAGCGTCAGCATCTTGTCATTTATTGGTCGTCTTGGCCTTCTCTGCCTTGGAAGCAGATGCTGCACTTTGCGAGGCCTTCAATACCTCGTGTCGCTGCGAGGGAGGATCATGGACGAGGCGAAGCGGGGCTTCTGGGCTTCTGCACTCAGAAGCTTGCAGTTGCAGCTTTGATTTTGGGGGGATCTTTGAGTTGAGGGGTCGGCCGTTTTGTTTCTTCTCCTTAAACAGTGTTAGAGCCCGAAGCTGCGACTCTGCCAGAGGCCTTGGCCGTATGGATGCGGGAGCACGCCCCTGCTCAGGTGCACTCTGACGTTCCCCCCCCCTTGGGCGCAAAGTGATGTCTCTCTGTGTGAGTCTCAGGTAGCCTCTTCGCTTCGAGAAGCCCCCAGATATGCCTCAGATATGCCTCAGATCTGGCACATGAGCTTGACCATCCTGTGGGCTCTCCCCTTGCTCCCTTGCTCCCTTGCTCCCTTGCTCTCTTGCTCCCTTTCTCTCTTTCTCTCTTTCTTTTTTTCTCACTTTCTCTCTTTCTTCTCTTTCTCTCTTTCTTCTCTTTCTCTCTTTCTTCTCTTTCTTCTCTTTCTCTCTTTCTTCTCTTTCTCTCTTTTTTCTTTGCGCTGCACTTCTCGCATCATATGTCAGCACGTACGCCCACACATGCGTCAGCACGTGCGCCTTTTGAGTTTCCTTTGCGCCTTTTTGACCTGGAGGTGGTCCAGATTGGTGTCGGCTGCGACACTCGCGCATCGCGCTTGGACCATGGCGCCACCTGGTTTGAGGCACGGCCTTTTTGTCCTAAGAGAGCCCTAACGGAGGCGCCTCGTGCTCGATGGAGAAGTGGGAGGGGCTTTGGGGAAAGGTGGACACTCCGCGCGTGGCTGCCTTCCGCCAGAGGCTGGCTAAGCACGGAGACTTTGAAAGTGCAGGTGTCGGTGATCCTCACTTAGTGTAGCTTAATGCTGTGCCGTGGCTTACAGGAGTTGCAGCAACACAGCAAGAGTCTGCGACCGCAGATGGTAAAGCAAACATATACTGAGATGAGTCTTCTCGCTTGGCCATGACACTGACGAGTAAGCGAGCACGTAGAAAACATGGTGACGCCTGACAAGCTTCGGCTACTTGTTCCGGCAGCTGGTCTCGCAAGCCTCGCGAGCCTCTACTTTCTGGTCTTGCGTCGCCGGCGGACGGCTTCAAAAGTGCTGGGGATTCCCACGCTGCCCGCCAGTGCCACTCCAGACGATGTGGCTGATGCCTTGCGTGCCAGAGGTGTGGTCGTGATCGAGAAGCTCGTCCCTGAAGCGCTCATGGACTGCATGGTGGAGGAACTAGCTTCTGCACAGGGAGTCTTTCGCGGAGCTGTGGGCTCGTTTGGAGGTCACCATACCTTGAGAAATGCCTGCAAACCCCTGGGCGAGTCCAAGGTAGCACAAGAACTTGCTGTTCAGTCCTTGGTGCTCGCTACGGTGGAGTGCCTCTTGAAGCCATGGTGCAAGAGAGTGGTCTTGGGCACCTGCTCAGCGATCTCAGTGGAGCCCCCTCCTCAGAATGAGCTTCCTGCCCCTGCACAGGTACTCCATCGAGATGGCAGTATGTGGGGTGCCTCCAGCTGGCCCTGGCAGCAATCCCGGCCGGAGTTGTCCATCTCAGTTATGTGGGCCGCCTCGGATTTCACCATGCAGAACGGGGCAACGCGCTTCTTGCCAGGGTCGAACCATTGGCCGTCTTCCATGGGTGAGTATGGAACAAGGGAGTCCCTTCCTAAAGGCATTCGGTCGGAGGATGCCCTGCATGCTGTGATGCCCAAAGGCTCCGTAGCCCTCTGGAGTGGGAACACGCTTCACGGAGCTGGCTCCTATGCCGCGCATGCTTCACACGCTTCACACGCTCAGCCCCGGCACGGCTTGCTCTTCATCTACAACCTGGGCTGGCTTCGATCTGAGCACAACTTCCACTGGGGCATTCCCCAGTCCATACTGCAGTCCTTCTCTTCCACCCTCAAGAGCTTAATCGGGCTCTCTGGGGAGAACGCGGTCTCGCATGCCTGGTACACAGGGCCGGTTTATGCACAGCCTTACTTGGGCGGCTCGGAAGGAAGCGCTGCCGGCGATGGAGTTCAGTTCAAGATTCCGGCAGCATGACCGTAGCACTTGGAGACGGCTACGCTTGAAACAGCCTGAGCACGAATCTGCAAGTGCCAAACACCCCGGTTGAATCTTCGAAGCCTAAGTTCGGATCTCCAAATCAGCAGCCATGCCTCGAAGGTTCTTTTCCGCGAACAGTAATGCTGTGCAGCTTGATGCTCAGCAGATGGGTGATCTGAAATGCCTGAACATTCGTGAGGCGGTGCCTCTAAGGGTTCTCAGGTTTCCAGGCCTTAAGCCTCGAGAAAGTCATGGTGTCATGGTGGCACTCATCTCATCATGCTCAGAGGGGTCAAAGAGCTGGAGATTCGTAATTCGGTGTGTGTGGCCCGAGAGCAGATTCGGGGGGGGGGGGGGGGGGGGGGGCGCTCTTTTTTTGGCACTTGGTGTTTGGTGAGCCCAACGCTGGCTTTGCGCATGACTGCAAGACCCGGGTGTAGAGGTGCAAACGGTTTGTAACGACTGTTGCAAAAATGTTTACTTTGTTTCTTTGTGTTTTTCCAGCTGCTCAAGTGGATCTCCGAGGCTGGGCGTGGACTTGGTAGACCCGATCGGGTTGAGCGATGCACTGGCCGGAGCACATGGAAGCTCCGAAATTGCGAAGTAGTTCTCTGTGTTTCCCGATGCTATCACGTTCATGTTGTATTGAATCCTTCTGCGCGCTCATCAGGCAGACGCATGGTATAGGGGCGGGTTAGGCGAAAGAAAAAGGTTGTCCAGCCCTCCTTATGCTATAGTATGGGAGGTTGCCCCCCCCCCCCCCCCCGTTCTCCCAAGCATGCTTTCGGACAACTACAAAATGCTCAATCTGTTGAAGCCAGTTGATTGCGGCGTAAGACGCCGCAATGGGAAGAATCACATGATCAGCACGATCACTGTACGATCAAAACGAGAGCCTCGCAGTCTCCAGAGTCCCCAGCAAAAGTCTAGGATGCCCCTTCAACATCTGAGGAGTTCAGAGCTTTGACGCTCACGAGTAGAACAGGTCTCAAGTTGTCAAAGCAGCACGTTCAACTGGGGTTGTAACTTCTACAGTGCGGTTACACATCAAGTCCCCAGCTACTTTTCTCTCGACGTTGAGCAAGTTGCTATCCCTTGCATTCAGTGTAGAGATTCGCAGTTTTAGTGGCACTCAAGCGGTGTGTAGCCAGTGACATGCATGTGACCGGTAACAGGTTATGTGACAGGTGCCATGTGTCCTTCAGTTTTTTTTTTTTTGGTGGGGGGGGTGGGGGGGCGAATGATGAGGGCTGCTTCTGGCCAGGCCGAAGCCGGATTTCGTCACGACGTCCCCACCGCCTGGGTGTGCGAGGTGTGACAAGCCTGTGTGGCAAGTGCATGTGAGAGCGTGTGAGTGCGGGTGTGATAGCGGGTGCGTCCTCGGGTGCGTGTTTCTGGTGCTTGCGTTCGCCATGCAGGGCCTCTTGGAATACCACGACGAAGACTTTTCTGAGCGTGCTTGGGCAGTCAAGCCATTATTAGAGCGTTTGAAGCTCAATTGTTCTGGTGTCGAGAGCAGTAAGCCCCAGTAAGCATTAGGAGACAGAGAGCAATGTGACACTCGCTTCGAGCCTTGGAATGCCCTTGACGTCCCTTCATCCAAGGCTTGCTGGCTGAGCTGACCCGCGTGCAAGGAGCCGGGAAGCAGCCTCCCAGCTCAAGTCCGAAGTGCTGTAAGAGCCCCTACCCTAGTAGCAGTCCGTGCAGGAAGAAGTGAAGCAAAGTTGCTGCAACGGCATACCGGTGTGTTTGCAGATGCAGCTTTCCAGCTGTTTTTTGACGGCTTTTTGGGGGCTTGGTCGCTGCAAAATGTTGGGCGTACGGTTGCGTTATTGTTACTGTGCCTTCTTGCGACGCGGAACATATTTGGACATGATGTGTTATGTATGGTTTCTCAGGTTTTGCAACTACTTGGTCAACTGCTTCATGCCTGTTGCGCAAGCAAGCGCTAGATCGATACATAAGTTTGCATTTTCCAGAGTTCCGGTGCCGTCCTCTGCAACGGTGGGGGAACAGCAACCGACGGCTTAGCTTTAACGCTACGCGAGCCCAAGTCGCTGGACCCCAAGCAATAAGGGTTGGATTTAGGGTTTAGGGTTCCGGGTTTATGGTCTATGGTTTAGGATTTAGGGTTGAGGGTTAGTTTGGGGTTTAGGGTTTGGCTCAAGGTTTATGGTTTGGGGTTTAGGGTTTTTAGGTCAAGGTTCATCAGGGTTTAGACGGTTCGGCTTGGACAGGATTCGTAACCTACGGCTCACAGTGGAGGTGTGGGTTCTCAGGCAAGGGGGGCGAAAAGGCGCAGGGGGGGGGGAAGGGGTGAAACTACTTCTGAAATTATTCGGCAGCTTTAACTCCTAAGGTTCTAGTCTGAGCTACGGCTACAAGTGCAACGCGTGGGGTGGTCGGGAGCTTTTTGGGGTAAAGTGGCGCAGCCTCAACTTTCATGGCAGAGGTTGCCGGTTGTGGAGAACACAGAGATGTTTTTGGGGTTTAGGGTTTAGGGTTTAGGGTAGGAATTTAGTATGAAACTTAGCAGAACTGGATCCCGGGGGCATGCCAACTCCATGTACATGTTGAGGATGCTGCTGCTTGCCGTGTTGGACCTCTGTTGGCTCCAATACCTCAAGGACGCCTCGTGGGGAATTGGCAGCTCATGGGGCAATGTACACAATGTACAAAAGCATGCACTTAAGCTCACCTCAAGCTGCGCCAAGCTTCACCAAGCCTCTCAGGAGCAGCATGCTCAGAAGCCCGTCCGAATGGCCTGGAAGCTCCTGGGCAGCACAGGTTTGAGAGACCATGGGGAATCCAAGAGTCGACATCTTACAGGGACAGGTGAGAACGGACACAAAGTGGCTACCAGCCCCAATGTTGAGTTTTGTGTTTGTTGAGACTTGCCATGCTGCAGTTTCCGCCAAGGCCAAGCCGCCTTCCCAGCATCCAAAAGGTTGCAGCGCGAGTCTGTGTGTCTCGTCAGACGGTTCAGTCCTGAAACATGTAAGGGCAATAGTATCTGGCGGCATACCGCAAAGCTTCGTAAGGTGTTCTTGCTTCATTTAGTCTGGGATTCTCCTCCAAACATTTTTGGAAGCATTGCAGAGGGTTATCGTGGGCTTTCTCGATTGGAGAATCAAGGCCCTGCCGCATTGTGGACACCTGAGCTCAGAGTCACTAGTTGAAAGAACCACGAAAGGCCCCCAAGGACCTGCCAGGCCTGTGCTCCAGTCCTTAAGCTCAGAAGCTCAGGCACACGGCTGGACGCTCCAGGGAGTCACGAGCGAGCTAAGGCTCCACCAATGGTGCCTGTTCTGCTTGGGGTCCAGTTCTTCATTCGGTTCTTGTGGGGCCTTTCAAGAGAAGTCTGTTGTCATTGGCACTGATGTCGTGCACCTGCGGTCCAGAGAGCATGTTTCGCAGACCAAGCAGCACAGTGATGTGAAGGGGGAACTGAGACCATGCTACGACTTGTTTAGGAATGTTGCGCAAAGTGGGAATTCAGCTTCGTGGCAGGCTGAACGAGTCGATGGCTAGCGGCGAGGCCGGTGAGACTTCATCCATCGGGCATGGGTTCTCGCTTTTCTCCGCACTTTGCCCAGCTCAGGTGCGGCTCGCATTTGGAGCCGCGAAGCCGCGCGAAGCCCCGCGAAGCCCCGCCAAGCCGCGCCAAGCCGCGAAATTGCGAAGCCGCGAAGCGCCGACTACTTTTCTTTCCCCAAACAAAGTCCCGCAAACATGGGGACGCGGCAAAGGAGAAGCGGTGAAGGGAGTGCAGTCAGAGTGCAGCGAGTTCCAGGAATGTGCAAGGCGCTCCACGGAGAGGTGCCCCCTCCTCTTCGCTTTCTCGATTCTTCTCGCCCCCCGAAATAACCGGAAGCGCAGGAAGCGCCCCTAGAGAGGGGGGCCAGAGGGGGGGCAGAGGGGGCATCCCAAGGTTCGCATCCCATGTCCGCGAAGCGAGGGGCCATGAGGGGTCCCTGGCCGTTTGGGGAAGGAAAAGAGGAAGAAGAGGAAAGCACTTGTGCCGTGGTGCCTGTTCCGCCAGCGGCCAGAGGCCTCGGTGAAGACTTATTTACCCCGCAGGTGCAGAGCCTTTTCCACGTGCTGCAGGCCTTCCAAGAGCAAAGCGGCGATGGCAAAAAAGAGTTGGCTCGCGGACGCCCTTGCGCACTAGTTGCGCACTGGCATGATGCAGAGAGCTTTTAACTTCACCTATAGACAACCTGGGTTTCGACCCCCCAATCACTAGACTTTAAATTCTGCGACAGCCTTGGGCCTCGTGATGCGGCCTGCGGCTGGCAATCCAGAGCCAACTTGAGCAAAAGCGGGACCTGCAAGTAGCTTCAGCTTGCAGAGGTTCATATAGGTTCAGAACAGAGACAAGCCTTCGAGAGAAGGCTTCCGGCTTCCAGAAAGCGCCGGGCATGTGGAGCCCGAGCCTCGGATCCCAGTATGTGGGTTCACACATCTTCACACCCTTCAAGGAAACGCGCAAAAAAAAACACAGCTTTCGACAGGGTCAGGGATGCGTCGACATTTCGAACACAGGTGCAGCACGGCAAAGCGCCCGTGTTTTCCAATCCCGTAAACTGTCCGTGGACCTTCCAGGGCGGCGAAAGGTGCTCATGCCCCAGGCAACCCAACCCGCGTAATAATCTTAAAACGGTTATTATTGCGTGCGCCGCAAGGTGCTGCCAAATGCCCATGCTGCACAATGCTGGATGCTTCACGCAATGTCATGTCTATACATGTCTATACATGTCACATGCCAACGTTTCAGTTCCGAAGGCTTCCACGCCACCGCAGAGCTCAAGCAAAAGGGTGCGAACTGCTTCGAGGCTCCGAGGAGTTCTGGAAGGCGGCCTCTCGTAGGCTATCTCCTGAGCCTCGGAAAATCTCGGAACACTCTTCGAACCCAGCCGGCTTTCTATTTCATGAATGGTTACACTTAGTCACGTCTTGCAGCTTACATGTTCCCTCCAGGTCTCGGCACAGAGCATCCTGCCAAGCGCCGTTTCAACGCTCGCGTCGGCGAAGACGATCAAGGCACGGCCAAGATGGCCAAGTGAACCAGAGCCAGTTGGGAGGGAGTTTTGCAGGGTGCGCAGAACTGATCTGCAGTTCCAGGGGTCCTGCATGTCCTGCATTGGGCAATTGCGCCAGGTCGCTACCACTATGATGTGTGTGAGCTCAAATTCGATGCTTGCGGCTTACAGGATTGCGAGCATCCCTTTGGTTGCGGTGCACATAAGCGGTACAGAATGTCATTCCATGCTAAGCCAGCGTGGCTACTGTCTCGAGCACAGGCAAGAAAGCGTCTAAGATTGCCAGCTGAGAGAGCCACATAGAACCCGCACCCTTCATGCCCCTTCACCAGAAAGGGCGTGGAAAGGGTGGATGGGGTTTACTTGGCCGACTCGTACATCGGTGATGGCGTAGTGATGGCCTGGCCTAAACGAGAGGCCCGCTTTAATTCGGCGCACCGCCCGCATTGTTTAAACCGACCTCTTCGAAGATCAGGGTACACTTTTAGACTCTGCATCTTCCAAAGACCAAGAGAGCGCCAAGGAAAGACTGGACAAAGACTGCAAACGGACGGGTGCACTGCTTTTCTGACTGGTGACAATTGCCCTGTAAACCAACCAGCAGCAAATAGAGTACAAGTAGCAGGTTCGAGCTGGAAAGACACAGTCAAGTACGTTCCCAGAGCAGTCCTCAATGTTAAGTGCAACAAGTCTGTGGGTTTGGCACTGGGCTCTAATTCCGCACCCTGAGCTTTGCTTGCACTTGAGAACTCTTCTTTCCCAGCCTTACAGGTTGGGCCCTCAAGGCAGCGATTCCTGGAATTGCCGCGGCTTTTTGGCTCGCCGCTGCTGCCAGCCGCCTTCCCTCAGGGAGTGCGACGCGTCACTGCTACTGCAGCTTGGGCCTCAGGTCTTATCAAGTATCATGCACGTGCTGATGTACGGACATGATATTGGGCAATTCATTCAGACTTGCTGCTGCAAGGGGGCCCATGTAGGCACACAGAGGCATGAGACGTGCGCTGGCAAGATGACAGGCCACCCACGCCCTTTGTTCTGATGGCGGGACTCCTTCGACGAGCCACGGCCAGGTGGGGCTTGTAGTCCCGATCTGTCAGGGGGATTCTATTCTTTTTGGGGTTGAAAGGGGTACCCCTATCTTGGGAAATGCCCATATTAAGGTAGCTCAACAACCTTGAACCTCGAAACTTGAGTCCATTGGTAGCTGTAGTTCTCAAGTCAAGGCCTTTCAGCCAATATCTGAGGGCCAAGCTCCACCAAAGCGAGCAACGTGCAGTTTGCTCGAGCTGCATGTTTGGATGGCACATGCTCCTCCGGTCAAGAGAAGTGCACCGTGAAGCACGGAGGCCGTCTGTAGATTCGAGATGAGCTGTTCCAGCTGTTTCCCTAACTGCACCGCGACAATGCAAACTAGCTCAGCGCACATCAAAGGTTCCCTCCCAAAGTCTCCCAGAGAATCCTTCGGGGCTCGTGTCTCGGGCAGGAGCCAGGCCCTTCTGCCGCTTCGCGGCGTGGCCAAAGGCTCTGCGGTTTTGGGAGATACTCTTGGCGATACTGGAGATGCCCCAAAAGGGGGGGTCCTGGGGAGTGCGGCCTCAGATGCGCAGATGTGTCACAGGTCCTGTCAAGCCAATTGGCCCGAATTTCCCGCAGACCAGCGAGAAGGCCCATCCCCCCTCGAACCGAAGGAGGGGACTTCTTCTTGGCAAAAGGGCGCTTGAGGCTTCTAAGCTCCAAGGGGTGCGGTGTGCAGAAAAGCGAGCAGAAAGTTGCATGGGGGGCATCCCCTCTCCCTCTCCCTCTCTCTCGTGTTTTTTGGCTTTGATGACCTCCGTGGGGGGGAGTTCTGAGAGCCAGGTCATGGGTCCGCACGGCTGGATGCGCCCTGGCACAGTTTCGGTTCCTTGCAGTTCATGCGAGAGGGCAGAGAGCCGCCATATGCCATAGCCAGCGAGGAGATAAGAGAGAAAGACAGACCGTTGCCCAAGGCGTGGTTCCTATCACTTCTGGAGCCTTACCAACCCAATCAGGCGCAGGGTGTCTGTACAACAAGAGTCAAAATAGGGGGTACCCCTTTGAAACCCCAAATAGAGTAGAATCCCCTTAAAGCGACCCCGAAAATGGGTACCCCTATTTTCGGAATCCCATGTACAAAAGTCCTTGTTTGCATTTGGCCACATGTGTGGTTGCTGGTTCTGCCTCCTTTTGCTGCAACGTGTGGTTTCAACGAGCGTTCCCGATGCGCCGCAACTGAGCCAGCGCTTGTGCTTGCTTGTGTTGATGGGCCTGATGCCTCAGGGGCCCTATGTATGCGCCTCCTTGGCAAGTTGGCGGCATTCACAACCCCACGATCGACCCGGTCAAGCATTTCAACACTCAGGAGAGGGCCTTTCGATGTCCAGCTGCGCAGTTCCCTGCAATATTTGCTTGAGCATGGGCAGGTTGATACAGTTGGAAGCGATCTGGATTTGAAATGCATTTGAAGCAGGGATGAGGTCTCTTCAAGAAAACTGGCCAGGGCCAGAACACTGCGTATGGTTAGTGATAGCAGTCGTGCATTCCTGCAACCCTTGCATAGTGAAGAGGGCCTGCATACGCAGGATCGCTTCCAGACTGCCACTGGCCAGCACTCTGAGATTTTGTACTGCCTCTTTTGGATACAAAGGCGGTGGTGCCTCATCGTTGTATCTCAGCGTTGCTTCCCAGCGGTCTGAAAGGCTGCAATGTGGCTGAAGCCAAGTCTGAAACATTTGAGCTGTGAGAAACCAGGTTACCGCCGGCGAGTACGTCAAGTGCTTTATCTACAACATGCTCCCGGCTCGCCTTGTGGACGCAGTTACCAAAGTCCCTCAAAGTTTAGGTTAGATCTTCTTGAGGCTTCAAAGTTCGCAGCAACACACAAGGCCACGAGAGGCGGGAGACTTGAAGCATACGCAACGCCAATAGGATGAGCTCAAATCAGCGAAGAATCCAGATCCATGGATCCCTCAGAAGCCGGAATCAGGTTCAAAGCCTGACAGTGGCTTCAAGTTCAAGAATGTCTTCGGGTTTGAGGTCTTCGGGTCTTGCGGGTCTTTGGGGGTCTTAAGGGGTTCCGGGGCGGGCTCTGCAGCCAAGGTGTCTGGTGTGTGATGGTTGGAGTGCGGGCCCTGGTGTGTAATTTGGGGTTAGGTTTTCAGGGTATTTCAGGGTGAAAGGTAACTCGTTGTAGCGGAAAGCAAACCCGCGATCGTCACCTGCCCGGTGGTGTTGAAGAGTCTTTCGAGGCCGTTTCGCAGTAACTTCCGGGGCGCGCCTTTGGTGTCCGGTGTCCTGTGCTTAGGCCGACCTTCTCCTTAAGACCCTCCTTTACCTCCTGGGAGTTGCTGGGGATCCTTTCTGACCCTCTTGTTCTTGGGTTTCACTTCCAGGGTCTGCGACTGGGGTAAGGGAGAGGGGTCAGCTGCATCTTGACATCAAGGGCCTCTCCTTCCCTTTGACCACTCGCAGGACCTCCCGTCCATCTCAACGCCTCTTCCTGCCCGGGTACCACTGAGCCTGCACTAAGGGAAGAATCCCGCACCTTACGCACCTTCGATTTGCTCAGGTCATAGGTCCCAAGGCCCCAAGGCCACACTCCTCACGGCACGCCCAGCTGGAGTCTTCATTCCCAGCTGCGCATGCAAAGTCCTGCGTTGTACTTCGCTACCTGCTGACCGGATGCACTGCGTCCTTGACAGGCCAACGCCACAGCCAGCACTTGCAGCCCCTGCCGAGCTCCACACTGACATTGGGGACTGCTCTCTCGTTGCAGCGAGGAACCGGATGGGGTCTCGATCTCACAAGACTTCCCCCGAGATTTTCTGAGTTGGCATCCAAGCCTTCCTTAAAAGAGGCGGCGGCCCGAAGGGGTTGTTGGACAAAGGCTCTTCTTCCTGGTCCGCCCTGGCTCAGGCCGTGCTCCAGGTACGCGCATCTCCGCAGGTGGGGGGATTGTTGGGATCCGCTGGGCCGCTGGGGTGGCGTCGCAGCAGGATCCGCCTGGGTCCACCAACCCACCGCCTCCAGCAACACCTTCCTGTCTTCCAGTCTTCCAGAGCGGCGGCCACTTGATTGGCCACGCGGAGCTCGTGAGCAAGACTCCTTCGTGCCACTTCTGCAATCACGCACCAGGCGAACCTACCCCTTCGCGCCATGTCGTGTCCGCTTCCGATGCCGGTGCCTGGCCTTTTTTCAAGAAATCAGCCAGAAGACATCGGCCGTGTGGATCCGTTGGTTCAGGCGAATAGCCTCTCCAGCACCGGGATCTCTTGCCCTGAGCTCTTGATGCTTTCGGGGCCGTAGACGTTCACAAAGGGACGACCGTTTTCTGCACACCCATCATTCGGACCGCCCAAACCGAACCCTTGACCTTCATACCTCAGGGTTTGTCCTGGCACCTCCTCCAGAGCAGCTGGAAAATATTGAGGTCCCTGCTGTGCGCTGGTTTTTGGAAGAGACCCTGTCGTTCCAAGCCATGCGTGTGGCTTGGGGGACGGACTTTTCTCGTCGCTTCGATCAGGTCGCAGGCTTTGCTATTCCCACTGACAATTCCATTGGAAGAGTTTTGGATCTTGGCTCCCTCCGGCCCGAGGTGGCCAGCTTTCTGCCGCACTTTCCGATGGACATTTACCATCATCTACCCGCAAGACGTAGGGAGCCAGTAGTTATCTACATAAATGACCCACCCCAGTTGCTTGTCAGAAGGAGCTCTTACAGGGCCGTTGACTTTCTGATTTTAAACAGGAAACTAATGACTGTCGCCTGGATGAGCTTTTCGCCCGCTATGCTATTTGCAACCCTTTGCTGTTGGGTGACTGAAATTGATTTCTGGACCCGAGGTCCATTTTTCAAATATTCAATGTCTTGCGGGGACTCCTCATTTCCCCCCCCCCTCCCACTCCCTTACTTCAACTCTATTACGTCAGGTTGAAAGGTTGAAGGAGGGTTTGTCTGAGAAAGGTGGGCCCCCCCCACCCCCGTAGGATCCATTTTTGGCAGTAGAGATGCAGAGCGACACCCTCCGCTTTCGCTCGTGCTGTTCGTAATTTCTCGGTCGAAAGGGGTTTTGTGGCCTATCGGTTTGGGCTCCTTGCCTTTGGAGGAAGTGCTGATTGATGTTTCTTCCACATGTTGCTGTGCTGGAGGTTCCGCTTAGCCTTGTTCTGATCAACACCTGGTTGGAGCAGAGGTGCAATGCACGAGTCGGTCTCGGGGTTTTAGAGATGCGCTGTGCCTTGATGGGGGTACCTTGTGCGGCCTTTGCGGACAGGCGTGAGCCCATGGAGATCTTCATGGATCGTGAGGAGTACCACAAGTATTTCAACGACTTCTACTATGGCCGGACGCCCAAGGGCGGAGGGGGTCCCTGGAACTTGCAAAGGTTTCTGCGCCCGTCGCATGGTCTTTGCGATTTCCAAGTCACGGTGCCAGCAAGTTCAGTCTTCCGGTCCGGCGCTGGCTGCGAAGGCGTGTACTTCGATCACCATCACTTCTCGCACCAGCTCTGCCACCGCCGCGCTCACAAGCACCCCGGAAGCAGAGTGCCTGTCGCTCGTACATACATTGCAATGACTGACGAGTACAGCTCTTGACTAGAGCCATGGGCTCCAATCTCAAAAGCCGAACCCAAGGTGGGGCTACGCTGGGCAGGACATCACACTCCAGGCCTTCGGCACGTGCATGGCACGTACACGGCACGTCCACCTTCTCGGATGTCATGTTGTTGAGTCTAGGTGAAATGTTAAAGGAAATGTTGTCCAGATGGACAGGACGGGCACCACTGAGGGCCGACTGAGGGCCGAAGATCTTCCGCTCGGGGAGTGTTTCTGAACAGTCGGCGAAGGGGTGGGCAGGGAAGCTATAGGGGCTGTTCTGGTTCATGGCTGGTCTAGGGTCTTGAGAGGCCAGATCTAGTGAAGTCCAGTGACGTTTGTAAAGCAAGCATGCGCCCTCCCCTGGCTGGTTGTGATTGTGATTAGTGGCTATGCAATAGGATACCGAGCAACGAAAATGGACTTAGACAAAACGCGGCAGAATGTTCTTCACCGCCATGGGTCACTGGCTGAACCTGCCTCTAGAAATACTGTTGCTGCTCAAGTTACCCATTTTGGCCGGTTTTTGTGTTCACAAAGGAAAGGCATTCGGACAAAATGCGCGCTGTTGCAGGCGGAGACTTGAGTGTGTGCCGCATGGGTCGAGGTTTTGCATCCATGCTCGCAAACCTAAGCTTGGAGCCAGAAATAGAAAGACTTCATGAACCAGAAGATGTGCAATCCATGTTCTAATGTTCTGAATCGATGATCTCCTATGATTTGCTTGACCTTGAGCGCTCCATATAGTTCGGGGTCCGGCAGCATCTTAGCTTTCGCACTGGAATCGAAGATCCATGTCAACTCATGCTGCTGTAGCAGTCCATAGCGCAGAAACAGCCTACGGCCGACGCTCCCCCGCGGCCCGCTGCAGGCCGTCAGGGTTTGTGCTGAGCCTGAGCGTGGGCCCACTCTCTTTCTGGCAAGTGGCTTCGTTGCGACGCCAGGCCCACCCCAACCCCCCCCCAACATGGCGGCCTCCGCCTCCACGACCAGCAGCCCTCCGCCACAGACCCGGCAAACAAAGAAAGCGCACAGACACGCAAATTCTCAGCTGTTTTAGGCCACAAGCTCAGAAAGCTCCGTGGATACTCAGGCCGAGCCTTGCGGAGCCCCTGGTGGCTCTGAAAACGTCAAGCTGGCCGGACACATAGATCTCTCTTTCGATGTCCCCAGAGTGAGCTTTTTGGCTCTGGGCCATATCGCAAGCTTTTGAGATCTGAGACTCAGGCATCTGGAAGTGCAAATAGAGACTTGAACTCCGTGTGACAATGAGTTCTTTACTGTGGGGTCTCAAGACACGTGTGCATCTCCGGCTACCTTGTGCACCAGCGCTAGACTCTGGACTCTGCATGACGCTGTTAGACCTAAGCCTCGCAAAGCTCTACCGAAGCCCTGCAAGACACAGAGGCTCGAGCCTGACATGGTTCGCGCATCGCCGCAAGCAATCACGCGAAGCGCTGTGTGGAGGGAGATGTCACGAAGGTTTGCCACGCAGGAGACTACCAAGGTAGCACAAGTAGCGGAAGGGCGGAGCGGCGGGCACCGGAGATCGGGGCATGGGAAGGCGGCCAAGAAGCCTTCGCCGAGACCAGTCACCAGAGCTGGAGCTCGCAAGAGAGCTTCTTAAAGAGATTCAGTTAACGAGGGTTTCAGGAGGACCCTGCTCCGGTCCCTGACACAAATCTTTTACCAGACATCTTCAGACACTATATTCTGAGCAGCCCACTGGTGGGTTGTGACGTCTGAACTGGGGACGGGTACTCGCGTCAGAGTAGTTTGCACAAGACAGCCGTTCTGGATTCCCCGTTTTCGTTCTTGGCGAGGCAGAGCGTCATCGGCTGGGTTCATGGCGTCCGATCCTTGGGATGAGATATTTACCCTGGAGGGCTCTTTGATGACATTGGGTGGCCTGTCAAAGTCCGGATGATGCGAGGGTTTTTTGTTTGTCTTCAATTGGCTTATGCCTGAGTTTTTGCGCTCTGTCGCTTCTCACTCTCGCTTCTCACTCTCGCTTCTCACTCTCGCTTCGCTCTCACTCTGACTCTCACTCTCGCTCTCTCTCTCTCTCTCTCTCTCTCTCTCTCTCTCTCTCTCTCTGTCTGTCTTACGAATCTATGAAGAACCCGATGAGTCACGAGTCTGTCGACTGGCCGTCTTGACCATGACAAACCTCCGCTGGTGATGGAGAACGCGCTTGCTTGCCCTGATGTCTTGTAGGTTGCTTACTTTGGCGGCTACTTTTTGGCAAGGTTTCTGGGTTGAAGGTTGTCGTCGAACAGGTTTCTGTCACGGACAGGGAGACACAGACAGAAGGCAGTGACGGCAAAGAGAGACACGCCAAGAAACCAGTGACGGGAACACGTTCGCCATGAGGATGGGCAGACACGAAATCAGTAGAATTGACGAAATGAGCTAGAGGTCAAAAGCTCTCAGCTTGCTGTAATGACTTCCCTTCCAGGCCATCCGCTCCTTGGCGTCAGGTCTGCAGGCACCTGCTGGGCCAATGGATATTAACTTTGCAACATGTGGCAATGCAGTGGCAATGCATGTGCCCAGCGAGCAGCAACAGCAAAGTGAACCAAAGTGAGCCGTGTTGCTGTATGTTGCTATATGAGTATCAAGAATGGCTGTGCCCAAGCCTGCCATTCGCCATCGCTTCAATTTTGGCATTGCATGTCGCATTTTCGGGCTGTTTTTCGGGCTGTGAACCAAGATCTCTGCAGGCAGAGAAGACTCAGCGCGAGTCGGACATCCAGGATGCCACGCGCACTCTCCGTTCTCTCTTGTGTTTGTCGTCATCTCTTAGCTCGATCCATGTGACCAGCGAGCCTCGGACCTCTGCGACCACCACTCGGAATGCCGGTCTGTGACTCTGTAGATGGACTCATTCTTCAAACCCTCGCGAATCTTGACTCGATCCTCGTGCTTGAATGCACTCAGATCTGCAGATATCTCTCAAGGAGCTTCGTGCAGACGCACGAGGCATGCTTGAGCGGATCCATCGGCTCGAGGCACAAGAGTCTACAAGCGCCATAATAAACGAAGTAAACCGAGGGTCAAAGAGTCAAAAGGATGTGTATCTCGAGAGTTGGCTTGGGCTTTTAACGTTGTGCGGAGCTGAGGCATTCTGGGTTTCTCTGGGACGGCTAGGTTGGTTCATGAGCCGCTGTAACCGAAGACCATCATGGGACGCCTCTTCGCGGCTCTTCGATGGATTTGCGAAATAATGAGGTGATGCCATGAAGCTGTGTAGCCCCGCAGCATCCGAAGCCCAAGTGTGAGCCCAGACAACGGAGAATTCGGCACCCCGGCTCAGGCGCGCGATGCCGGGGCTACACACAGGCCCACGGGAGAGTGCGAGTCAAGCGTTCTTGAGATCCTGTTCGTCTTGAGTCTTATGAACAAAGCAAGTACGGGGAACCCTGGCGCCTCTGCCTCACCTTGGGACCTCATGGCTCCATATGGCTCCCACAACCAGTAGCTCCAGAATATCATCTCTGGTGTGGTCCCCTGCTCAGTCCTGTTCCGAGTACGGAGTCGCCGGACCTGGCCAACGACGTGCGACAGCAGGACCCCGAGGCATGTACATGTCGATCCAGAAGTCCGCGTACTAAACTCGACGGACAGTCAGGACGACTGCACTCACAATACGAAGGCTTCAAAAAGGCTGAAAGAGTCTTGCAGGTTTCATAGGAACACGTGCCTTGCCCTCCGCGAACTCCCGGAACATCCTTGCCTTTGATCATGCCGTGATCGTTGTGTGTGAGACGAGAGTCAGATTTTTCCCCATAAGCTTGCCATACCTTGTGGTGCAGGCCTCAGGAAACAGAGAAAACAGAAACCAGCAGATGTTTGATCTGTGTGAGCGCTCAGGTTGGAGACGAAGTTGAATGCGTGGCGCGAGCAGTCGGTACTGAAGCAGGGTGCTGAGGCCTGTGACAAGGGAATACGAGGTGGTGTTGCCGTGATGCAGTGATCCTGGGTTCCTTACTTCTTAGGCTAAAAGTTTTCGTAGGCACCGCAGGGTTTTCCGGAGCTTCTCAACCCTTAAACTGTATATCTGGGTCCACATAGGATCCACCTTCCATGTGGTTACTACACTCTTTCGCAGAAGAGCGGTACGATTTCGCACGAAGAGGCCTGCAGAAAGCCTTCGCAGAAGACTTCGCAACTTCAGTACTTCCCAATTGAAATCACAGCCCGAGTGCACGCTTTTAGTGTAAGGTACTCATGCGAAGCTACTCATGCAGCATGACCTCATCGGCCCTTCGCCCTTCGCCTCCCTTCGACCCCAAAGAAGAGCCTTTGCGAAACGAACCTCTGGGTTTGCAAGGCGACTAGGAGCACAGACCGCTCACCCCCGGAGGGGGCTACGTCACACAAACGTCCCATGCCTCCACAATCCCTTCCCATCGCCAGGAGGACCTTCTTCGTCTCCGCCTTGATTCTTTAGAAAATGACGTTCGCGCCGGAAGCCGAGCCTGTGGAAAGTTTTGGCAGAGGGCTTGGTGGGCTGTATCTTCGTAATTCTTCGTAGCTTTCGCGGTTCAGGGGCTCATGTGCCACAAGCAAGCAAATCCCTCTATGCGCGTGGGCTGTCACCACGGCATCGATGTCCAACGTGGGTAGGCGCACGCACCGGTTGCAGTGATAGAGAGTTGATGGAGTTGGTGGTTTGTGATTGAAAGTTTGAGCCCAGAGCTTCGCCAACCAGCAGCAACACCCCCCCCCCCCCGGCCCACTGATCCCCCATTCCTCTGTCGGCATCTGAGGCCTGCTTGCAGCCGAAGGCCTGGCTTTGTCATTCTGACCATACATCCCGGTGTTCCCTGCCCTTGTGTGCCGTTGTTTGCATTAGCATCGGTATCGCAGTTGCTTGAGGGGTTCTTGTGGCCAGTTCGGGAGCGCAGGACTTGGATGCCGAACGCCAGGCCTTACAGGCGGGATGGGCAACGATGGGCAGAGGTTCCAACATATTCCTTTCGCCTTGCTGACCATACATGAGGCAGGCACAAACAGGCTTGGCCATACAAGGCAGTGAGCCTTTCCTAGGACAGGGGTCGGAAAACAGTCGCTGCAGCCCCACTCTTGCACCCCACGCGCCGACGAAGGAGCTCCGAAAGCAGTGCGAGAGCGCGGTGTCCGACGAGGCCATTGTCTTGAGGTCACAAGGTGTCAGTCGCGACCACGTGCTTGTTTGCAGCTGTGCTGTGGAGTATGTTCTCGTGGCCTGCTCACGTGTGAATTCTGGATGTGCTCTTCCGTCGCGCAGTTGCACACAGTCCTCGCAAGTCCTAGTATGTCCTAATTCTCTAAGCCTAGCATGTATTGCATTTCTGTAGTGGAACCTCCCCACTGACTGAGCTTCATGTCTTGGAGGGCCGCGTGCAGTATGCCGCTCTTCATTCCAAGCTGGCCGAAGCTGCGGACCAGCTGCGAGGATTGTTGCAGGCTCGTCAAAAGGGCGCCCCAAGCGCCCCAAGCAGCAGTGCACACTGGCAGGGTTCGCACAGTGGACCCAGCGAAGCTCTGACTGCGGAGACGCCTCTCTCTCTCTCTCTCTGACTCTCTCTCTTTCTCTCTCCTTTGTTCATTTTCTCCAGAAGTTGTGCATCACACTCTGTGGGGTACAGCCCGAGCGGAGGCTCACAGCTCTGCCTTCGAGGAGCGTCTCCGGATCTGTGAGGCGCCCTAAACGAAGCGTCACGACTCTTCAACTTTTAGTGATGAAAAGTGAAGTGTCCTTGGTCAGAACACTTTTCTCAGAAGAACTCGGTTCGTGCTCTCTGTTCATACACCTCCGATCAGTCAAAAGCTGTGTCTGTGCAGTCTCGGCTGACGGCTGGCGCAATGACTCCTCCGCAGGCACTCGGACCTGATTGGCGCTGTATGCGGTATGCGATTTCAAAAAGCGTATCGGGTCTCGCACTTTTCAGCATGGGATAAAAGCAGCGGATGGGTTCGCCTGGGTTTGACAGCTTCAAGTCCGCAACGTTCGCCACGTGGCATCGGATGTCGCCAAGAGATGTGTGTGACAGCTGCAACGCGAGTGCAACTGCATGTCCGCAAGCTGTGGTCAGGACTGACAACACAGGATTGCCCCCCAGGAGGCTTTCGCTTTTCTAAGGAGTCTAAGGAGTCCTGTCCCTCTCCTCAGGCAGCCTCGGAAGCCTCAGAGCCCCGTGAGGAGTCAAGGCGGGAAGTGACAGGGTGCTGTCAACGCTGGGTTTGTGTGCACCTGACCACATTGGGGGATTCAGGCAAAGGTGGCTTAACTTGAGTGCACAGTGGGTTGAGTGGGTTGGGCAGTGAGAGAAGCATCGGCCTGACCAACCCCAGCTCACCTGCACACTGGCTGAGCACGGAGCGGCGCTTTTGATAGACAAGTCTGCGAACACAAGTCTGCTGACAAGTCTGTCGACAGAAGTCTGTTGACACAAACTTGCGTCTCGGCTACATTGTCCCATTTGCAGAGAACACTCCAATCATTTGGACCTGCAGGCGTCCAGGCTCCACGGGATCTGGTGCCGGTGCGGCAGGTGGAGCCTCGCTCGAGTCGCGGGTGGCGTCGCTTCGGCGGCGATTCAGACGGCTGCTGGAATTGGAATGATGCCCGAGAAGCGAGTGACAAGCATGTTTCATCGAGCAATAGAAGGATTCCAGGACACTCTGTCCTTACCTGACCCCAAAATCCAGCTGCGACGATGCGCAGACACAAGCAGTGGAGCAGTAAGTGCACAGTCTGGAAGCCCATGTCAGGCCAGAGGGTTGGGTTGCCAGGGTTGAGCATGCCCAGGCGCCTCGAGCGCAACATGAAGGCCTGCCAGACTAGAGGAGTGTGAGTAGGGCTCAAGCGGTAAAGGGAGCGATACGGAGACAGCCGATGCAAGCTTTTAGCTCTGTGCGTGCAAGGCGGTTTGTTCCTGTTGGTTTTCGCCTTCAATGTAAGGGTCAAATGGGGTGGGATTACTAGTTACTAGTAATTCCTTTGTGGGTTGGGGTGGAGACAATTATTTGCAAGAGATAGGAGCACAAGTCTACCCTTCACTTTGCTCAAGCATTCACAAATGCCAGATCATCGGATTTGCAAACTAGGAACAGCAGGTTTTGGGCAAAAGTGGAGCTAAGTGCAATGAGATTGGATACGGCAAGATACGTGACAAACTGTTTTGTTGGTTCCTACCTTCCAACATACCCTTTCTTCTTTCTAGCAGCACTGGCTTGTGTCTTTCGTTCCCTGATCCGGCTTAATGAAATCCATACTACATGACGAGAGGGGAGAGGGAGGGGTAGGACCTTTGGAGAGGAAGGAGGAGACGTGAGGGGAGACCCGAAGATCGTGCGAGTCCCCGAGTCGCAAGTGATCGGGGCAAATCTCGAAGGGAGTGGTCCGATCAAGTCGCCGGATTGGCGAATGTCCTCGTTGTGTGCATCGTAGTTTCGCGCAAGCAGGCGAGCACCTCCTTCCGTTCTTGCGTGCAACTTGCATACTTCCCAAAGATATTCGCGAGACCGCGAGACACTCCTTGTGTGAGGCAGCAGCCCTGGGGCCGCCAGCGTCCGATGGTCGGCGCTTAGAGGCTCCGGCTCACGACTGGCAAACATGGAAGGTCGCAAAGTACAGGGACTGCAAGCATGTACCCTTTGCTGCACTGCCGAAGAAGAACACCTTGTTTATGGGCATTGCCGGGGCCACATTGAATGAGCCTGATGTAGCAACGCCCCGCAATCATCCCCTCAAGCTTCCTGATCCCTAGCCGGTCACATAGTTCAAAGTCCCAGCATGGTGCTTGGCGGAGGAGGTCGCCACACATGCCTTGCAGGCAGGGCGCCCAGTCGCAAACGGGGGCATTTGGATGGCCCTCTCCCCCCTGACCTAAGCCCTAAGGTAAGTGAGGGCACTTTACAAAGCAACCCTATTCAGGCCTGCGTTCCACCGCTCGCTTTCGTCCGGGGCCTTCTCAACTTCCAGTACCCTACAAAACCGCAACAGCCAATCAAAGCCCAACAGCCCAACCTCCAGTTTTCAAAAATTCTTGCCATTTAGGCCTCAGACTCTCTGATTGGAGAGTGCCGGAGATTGCAATCTTTTGTTTGTTTGTCTGCCTGTTTGTGAGTCCGTCTGCCTGCCTGCCTGCAGAGAGACCCAAAAATTGTTCTTGGTTCTTCGTAAACAAAAGCGCCCTGAGCGAAAAACGGCAAAAGCACCCTCCCACGATCCTCGTTTGGCTTCTTGCTGGCCTTTCCTGTGATTCGGGGAGCTCCATTTCGCAAGCTTCTCTCAGGGCCTTGCATCTCCTACCACCGTGCATCTCCCATGGGGCCTTGGACTGTCGATAACATCGGTCCTGCCTTGGCTTTTGGGGGGTGGGTAATGATTGTGAGGGAGTGCGTTCTTCTTTGGTTAAAACTTTTACACCTTCCGGTTTGCCTACGAGGGCCTTTCGTGGCTGTGCTGTTACGAATTGCTAAAGCAAACTTGACATGCCTTTCCAGCTCGGGTGTCTGACGGTCAAATAGGAGCGAGCCGCATTGTCGTCGTGGTGATGGTGGTGGTGGTAGTAGAAGTCCGCGTAGTAGCAGTGGCAGTGCCTGTGGTAGTGGTGGTGGTGGTGGTGGTGATAGTGGTAGAGTTGGGACTTATAAAGTTCTCTTTAGGGCCTTCGCTGTCGCATTTGTTTTTGAAGAGAAGTCACAAAGCCTCCGGCCCCCGGTCGGATGTGGTGCTCTCATATTGGCCTCTAGGTTATTTTGGCCTCCTTGTTTTCAGGTTGTCGGGTTGCGATCGGGCCTCACTTTCCACTCTCGGCTATGGTACTATGGTGTGTTTGCCGGTCCTTGTTTCTGATCGTTTTTGTGTTTTCGGTTTGCGGAGTTTCAACTCTGCCTCTTTGGCTGCTGCAAGACTGCTGACTGCTGCTCTGCTGTCGTGTGGGTGCTGTCGCCCGTATGTCAGCCCCCCGCAAGAAGCAAAGCAGCAGCACGCCATGAACAAATCCAGGCCTGGGGCAAGTGGCTACCCTCCAATGGCGGAAACTCCGAAACTCGCATTGTCAACGCCGAACATCGCCGAACGACTGAAGGACGTGTGGAAGTTGCCCATGTCGTCCTTGCCCCGAGGCGCAGCAAGAGGTGCAACGCCTTGTGCAGCGCTCCCAAGCGATCGAGGCTTGCGCAAAGGGCTTGAAGTGGCGTTTACGAAGTCATAAGCCTTGAGATGTGTTTGTGGTTCCATGTGATTGTGTTGGCCACTTTGGGGGTGTCAAAGAGGCGGCGACGGTCCAGTTGCGCTTCACGCACAGAATAGCCCACGTGGACGGACCTTTTCTCATGGCATCTGAGCCTAGTGTCATTGCTCTGGCGGTGCATCTTAAGCCGGCCGCGCAACGTCTAGTCACAGGGGAAGCTGAAAGCTTCCTGAGTTCCGGCCACGCTTGAGACATGTCTTGATGCCAGTCGCGGCTTTCGGCGCTGGACGGGCTGTTGACAGCTCAGCGTGCAGCAATGTGCAGCACACAAGTGAGGGAACGCATCTCTCCCAACATACAGTACATGTATCGCTCAGTTCCCTGGTCTCAAATCGTTAAGATCCTCAGACCCGCGAGATTTGCCACATCCACAGCCTGAGGGCAGCATCGGTTGCTGCGGGCGGGGATGGTGCCTCAGCGGCCGCCGTGGAGGCGCTCTCGCGCTCTCAGCTCTCACTTCCTCGATGTTGGGGTCTAAGGTTTAGGGTTAAGGGTTTAGGGTTTGATGTGAGGAGGGCTGCAGGTCTTCCCGAGTTTTTGTGTGTTGCGTAGGTGCCTGCGTTTTGTTTCTTCGCGTCAGGAGGATTGACGCGAGGCCCTATCTCTCACCAAAAAAAATTGGAGAAAGCTCACCTCTGGCTCGAAAAATTGACAATACGAATTAGAGACATCAGTTGCATGTCAGCTAAATGCGAGTTGAGTACTCATTTATTTTAATAGTCGTGTAATTCTCATCAAGTATTGATCGAGGTAGTAAATGCTGTTTGAGAATAAGAAGCCAATATTGATTAAGCATTGTTTAACGGCAAGTTACCTAGTTAGTTGAAATCCTTTAAGTACTAACTTGATGAAGTGTGTATTCCAGACGAATTGCTTTCAGAATCCAAGAGATATTTCTTGCAGCTTCGCATGTTGCATGGGATTTTCTGTTAGTTGTAAATGCCGCCTCGGCAGCCGGGCTGGCCGAACGCGGTTTCAAGGGAAGGGTTTTCGGTGTTTCAGCGGCACGGGGGCAGGAAAGGGTCCCGGGTTGGGTCCAGAGAGAGGGATCCCAAGGTTTGCAAGGAAGGTGTCAGGGGTTTCAGGAATTCCTAGGGGGCAGATGCCAGACCGCGGAGCAGTGAACACCTTTCTTGTGCAAGTGGCAGAAAAGCGCAGAAAAGCGGATTTAAGAAGAAGTCCGGCATTTCCCGTGCTGGGTGTGTGAGAAATTGTAGCTTTGCAGGCACTGTTACGAGCCGCACCGGCCGGGATTGCCTGGGCTTAGCATAGTGACGCGGGGAGCCCAAACCATGAAGGCGGAAACTTGAAGGTCACACGACGCCCGAATCAGCCATATTTGGCGATACCGCCTTTGCCCTGAGCTCTGAGTTCAGGTACCTAGCATCTTTTTGGAGCCACGAATCGTTGCCCCGACTGCAGTCACTTCCTTTTGAGCCCTGCCGAAATATATATATATATATATATATGAGTTGGGACCCGATTCTTCTCCAGGCCCTCGAGCGTCGGCTCGAGCAGCACATGGAAGAGAAGCTGGTCCCGCCAGGGCCTCAGGCCTCCAAAAGCCCGTGTCGGCTTGTGCGCGGCACGTGTGCGCGATAGAGAAGAAGGCGAGAAGGCGTGGGCTGTTTTGAGGATGCATTGCGCTTGGGGTGCGGTGCAGCCCCAGCCCGCAGCCCCAGCCCGAAGAGAGCCTGTCAAAAGTGTGAATCCCTGAACCCTAAACCCTACTACAGTAAACCCTACACCCTACACCCTAAACCCTACACCCTGCACCCTAAACCCTAAACCCCAAACCCAAAACCCTAAACCCTAAACCCTAAACCCGATGAACCCTAAACCCTAAACCCTGAGGCTGCGGGAGCAGCTGTCAGATCTCGAGGCCCCGACGAAGATCACATCGGAGGCTCCGTGGACTAAAGTCTAAAGGGGTACGGTTCGGACGGCCTGTGGTTTACAAACGATCAGTCCTAAATCTTTCCCGACCTCGAACTTTCGCTACGAGGTGTGGGGCGTTGTCAGGCAGCTTGTCCAAACCATGTTTCCTTCATTCTTTCTCTCCTCTGCCTATTCAGTGGCATTTGGGAAGGCCGTGTTTTGCGAAGGCGTGTATTGTGTCGCAACTCGACCGGTCTGTGAGCACTCCCCCCGAAGTCTCAGGCACTTACAGTCCTCATAGCCCTCAGACTTCTTACGATCAGATCGAAGCCACGTGGGCTTAGCTACGGTCTCAGGGGGGCGGGGAGGCGGGTAGAGGTTTTGTTTGCCCCCTTTCCTGTTTGTCTTTTGTTGAAGTTTCTTGCTGCCTCATTTAGTGATGTTCGCCGAAAATCCGTTCTTCTTCTCAAGGCTTGATCGCCACATGTTCTCTCCCTGCACATGGTTCGACCGTGGCTTTACAGGCTACAACCCTAACCTTCCGACCATCTCGGTGTTCACAAAGTGTGCCAGATTCAGATGAGCCTCTGTCAGAACTGAGCATTCCAGTACGACCCGGGAGCTCGGCTACCATGTTGAGGAACCTTGCCTGCCTCACAATGTGTACAGCAAGACAAGATGGTCCGCTGTAGCTGGCATCCCACGACCTTCAGCCATGCCACCTGTGGTTATTTTGAGTACCGCGAGGGCGGTTGCCCGGCCTCGTGGCCTCGTGTTGATTTTTTTGTTTTTCGTCGTAAATGGAAAGCTGCCGCTTCAGGAGAAGATGGACAGAGGTTTGCTCGAGGAAGTGCGCTGCCCAGAGACAATTTTTCCTCTGGAGAGGAACTGAGAGCAGTAGAGCTGCAGAGCTCGTGCATTCTGAATGCACTAGCAGCTCAACGGAGGTCCACCACGACCTTCTCTTCGCCGGGCAGCCTAGCAGCCTATCAAGGGCCTCTGTAGCTTTTGGATTTTGTTGATCTGCCATGAGGCTGCACAGAGGTGCACAGCAGTGTCCATTCTTGATTGCCTGCGTGATTGGGCGCCCACGCATGCCTATGTTGTTGTGCACCGCCAGTCGCTGGCCATCCTCGTTCGGGTATCGCAGGGAAAACTTACAAAATGTTGCGGAGCACGCCGGCTATGGCCCCTCCCGATTTTTCTGAATTGATGAAGGTTTTGGTTCTGAACATTGAGAACATGTGACGGTGTACCTGCACCCCAGAGCCGTCACCGACAATCGTCAACCATCAAAGCTTAGCAAAGCTCTCTTGCCCAGGGTTCGCCCGCATCGCCAAGCGCTGCAACTGCAGAGGCTGCGATGTCTGCTGACACTTTCCGAAACTCCGTAGGTCCTGGCAACCCACGACTCACAAACTTCGCGGGTACTAGCTGTTACTAGCTACACAAGCTTGTGACAGGCTTCCATCATCAAAGCAGTCTTCAACGATTGTGTGTGTGTGTGTGGATTGGCCGGAAGTTGTGAGCACAGGTGCCGGCCCTGAACGCCGCACGCGAGGCCAAGACATGCCCGAAAGAGAGATCCCAAAAGGAGAGAGGGAGAGAGAGCTGCGAAAAAAAGAGGGCGCGAGCGAGCGAGCTCGAGCTCTTCGCGCAAAGAAGCTCATTTTATGGAGGAAATTTCTTCAAAAACCATGATTAACGAAGGTGCCCTGCAAACGGCTGTGAGTGCATATCCACTGAGTATCAGCGAAAGCTAGACATGGCGTGACGGCTTCAACAGGCCCTGTTGTGTGCGTTCACATGTGTTCAATATGTCGCTCATTTTCACTCCAGTTCTCTGCTTTCCTCCGTTTTCCTGTGCAGCAGAGACAAGAAGTGTTTCAGCGCTTTCATCGTTGGAGGCGGTTGCCTCGGCTTCGGCTCCACTAACGCGTGACCGCACTTCGTCTGAAGGCAACTGCTCTTCAAGATGTGTCAGTGTGCAGGGGCTCAGAGTTGTGTGTTGCGTGGGGGCTTCCCTCTCGCTGCTTTTGCCTGCCTTTGCCTTGGCAGTCTCCTCGCTTCACACCAAGCTGCGGGCTCTTGCAGCACAGCAGGACCGGCCACGATCCGCGTAGTACGCCTCACACGCATAGGCGCACGCTCACATCTTCGCAGATCTGCTGACATCTTCTCACGTCTTCTGACAGCTTCTGACATGTTGACGAGGACGATCGAGCGCTTCGCCTTGAGCAGGAGATGAAGCTGCTCCAACAGAAGCCGGGCGGCTTTGGAGAGATGATCCAACTTAGGGAGGTTCACGTGAGAAGGCAGCATTTTCAGAGCAATTTTGCAGGCGTCTCCGCTAGGGCTAGGGTGTTCTGTACTAGGTGCCTGAGTGGCAAGCAGCAAACACGGAGCAGCCTGTATCACTGGGACGAGAATTGTCATGATCAGTCCTTTGCTTTATCATGACTATGATGTCTTCGGCGGTCCAGCTTCACACGTCTGGGGCTTCAGGGGGGTTGATAAGTTCAGCGGTTGCACACTCTTGCGCATTGTGCAGAGGCTTCTCGAGAGTGCTGCAGCACAAGCGACAGCTGCTAGCGGAGGAGCCCAGAAGGGGTGGGGAGGGGAGGGGTGGAGGGGGGGGGGGGTTGTGAGCGCGAGCTCGGGGCCGTGATGTGGCAGGATCCTCTAGCCGCACCTTCCCCCACCCCCACACACCTACTTCGATCACCTCGTCGCTCGCAAGAGAATCGTCCCGTCGTCCCAACCGCGGAAGAAAATTAGACTGTCCACTGTCAAAATGCTCAGAATGTCTATGCCGACTGTCGGCGTTTTCCGCGACATTGCAGAACCTATTTCATTTTGGGTTTGGGTTTAGGGGGGCTCAATTGCAAAGATGAGGCCCTTTCCGTGTTCCAAGAACATCCAAGAACCACAAGCCAAAAGAAGCATAACGTGACAGAAATGATTTCGGACCGGTGCTCCATGCCGGTCCCCAGGATCTGGCGCCGAAGCAAGGACCTCAGAGGTGGAGTGGGCAATTGTGTAGAGTAGTTCAGTGTTTATATATGTATACATATATATGCTAATGTACTACAGAGTAGTTCAGTATATGTATATGTATATGTATATATATGCTGATGTATAGAGTGGTGCAACAGTGAGCCACCACTGTGCCTTCGTGACCTGGCCTTGCACTTAGGCGTCAGCACTGGGCGCCACCCTCTCGAGTCATGATGAGGCGAGGGCTCATAAACACGGAGGGCCCTGTTCTAGGAGGTCTCGTTGGTTGGCATGATTAGAGTAGAGTGCAACGGGCTGTCGGTGTCGATGTACAAGCCAAGATGTAAGACCTCCCAGATTAACTTCCAGGATGCTTCATGCTATCAGGTCTCTTGTGGGGAGTCCTTTCGCGGTACTGCCAGCTGCGTACAACCGATGCTGTTGTCAGCAAACGCAGGAGCTGAAGAAACTGGCAGCGAGCATCCAGGGGTGCTTCTGTCATGCTTTGTGATCCAGAGCGTTGCTGGACGTCGTGGATCATGTTGGCAGAAAAGAGCATAGAATCTGGTACGGCGTCTGAGGCAGCGCACGTTTCACGGAGAGGTCGGCGTCGCATGATAACGAGGATGCATGTTTAACACAGATCTTTACAACTTTGCGTGCTCTTTGTCAGTGGCTTTCTTGTGCACCTCTCGGAGGGTTGCAGATGACAACGTGTGAGAGAACGCAGGGCCAAGGTGGCCAACAAATGTGCCCAGACAGCAGCTTTCAACGGCTTCTACGCCACTGCTTTGCTACGCTTGCTGCACTTTTCTACTTGCCTGCCTCTCGTCGGTGTCACGAAAGCAGTGCTCCGAGACTCTCAACTACTGGTGTACCCGTTGCTGCTTGCAAGTTTTCTGCATCCCTTTAGATGCGCTTATTGTTGCACATGCAAACTTAAATTATCACCGGGCTGGTTTTCAAGCTGACTCTGCAATCAACTCCTCAACCCCTCCAACCCCTCAAGCTCTGATCCTAAACTAAGCAAGCTGCGTTGGGGCATTTCCAATCAGGGTTGGTGAGTGGGACCAGAACCTGAAACTTTGCTGGGCTCCTGGAAGCGTAGTCTTGAAATGAGCTGATGCTCAAGGCAGGGCCGGTTAGCAGCAGTAGCCAGAAGCACGAGCTTCACGGGACACCAGAAGAACAAGGGCAACCTACCATCGGTTGGCACGCTTCATTCTTGTTGCAGCCAGCAGCTGAGGCTGCAAGATTGTTCAAGTTTATCAATCTGCTCAAGTTGTTCATGCAGGCTCTTACATTCACATTCATCATAGCTACCTGCCAGTTTCCCAACGACAGTTTTCCAGCATTTGCCGTGACTTGTCCACACAGCCAGGCTTCAGGCGGCTGCTGACTCTGCCCGACACACGGCGCCTACGGCCCATAGCAACTTGCAGGCGCAAGGACTAAGGTGATAAGCTCTGACGACGAGAAAAGTTGTTGTTGCTTGATCAATACCCAATTTGAGCAGCTTCAAATCCGAATTGAAGAGCGCGCGTCGTCTCCAGCCTCGTCGTTTTTTGATTATCTGCACTTTGCCTGCCAGGCCCCGGCAGAGTTGCCATCCTCAGCGTTGCCATCCGCCGCTTCTGCTCCGGCAGGCGCTACCGCAACAGTTTTAGCACATTGAGGACAGACTGAGGTGTACTTGGACTGCCAAGGGGAAGATCTGACCTAGGCTCTATAATGCTCTACTTCCTCACTCCAACTTCTGTGCACATCTCGGCGCGCACAACTCCTTATGCATGGGCATCCAAGCACTGTTTGTTCGCAGAGCACCAGCTGCCCCTAATGTAGCAACTTGAAGCCTATCGTGCACCACCCGTGGTGCGCAGCCAAGAAGCGTTACAGTACCAAGAGTAATCGTAGTAAGAGAGCATCTGGTGGTGCCATGAACGGTCTGCCGAATGCCGACATCACGAGGCTTAGCTTTGATAATTTGGTTTTTCCATCCCCCGACCTGCGATCAGTTGCGGCAGCTGCGGCTTCCGACGCCAAAGTTGAGGCGCCTGCTGCGGAGAGTGGGATTGGAAGATTGTTTTGTGGAACGTCTTTGGGTCACCCATGGGTTGAGGCTCTGAGGATCTCTGAGGCCCCAAGATTTCAGCGATTTTCGGCAGCAGACCGAGGCCCGCCTGGATGCGCTGCAACGTCAGCTTGAGGCTGCCACGAGCACGGGGTGCTTCCGCTTCGGATGTTCACTCGAGGGTTGGCGCTCTTTTGTTTTCCTTTTTAGGGGGGGGGGTGGGCGGGGGTTGGATAGGAACTCCTCTGAGTCTACTGGATGAACGAGAGGGACGGAGGGGAAGAAAAGGAAAGGAAAGGAAAGGAAGGTCTTTCCTCAGCCTCACACACATGCCGCGCACGGAGCAGCTTGCCTTGCCCCTCTGTGGGACCGTCCGGATAAGGGCGGGTGGAGCCTTTCACCTTATGCTCCATACGCATTCGGCCCTGCTTCTCTGAAGTGCTCTTCATAATGCTCTCGCAAGCTTTGGGCATTGTGCCTTGGGACTGGCTGCTCTGACTGAGAGCCAATTCGGAGCCTTAGCTGGCCATTGGGGGCCTTTTTGTTATTGTTAGAATCATTGGTCGACCGATGGCACCGGTGATGCACCGCATCCTTCGCCAGGCACAGGCGGCCAAGGTCGCTTCCTTCGCTGCGGGGACGACGTCGGGGACGACCTCGGCGGGGACGGCAGGGGAAGGACAGGGTCGAGTTGTGAAAGAGCGGAGGCAACTGCGCCACTCTGTGGGGTTCCGCTGCATCCGAAACATCTTCGGGCAGCTGTACTTTGCCTTGGGTACGTTCCTGGAAGAAGTGCTGCTAAACACTTTGGATCGATGAAGCCCGGAAGCTTGCCCACGTTTGCATAGGTGCGTGTTCTGCAATGCTTCATGCACAACCAACCTGCAGGATCGCTACCAAGTGCGGAGGAAGTCGCGGGGGATTCTTCCCTGCAGGTCACGCGCTGCGGATGATCGAGTGTTTTCACTTGTTTGATGTCAGGCTTGTCTTTCAGGGCTTTTAAGGCTTCTGGCAAATCATTGACCCATAAAATTTTAATTACAGTTTTAGCTAGCTGGCACTGTGCAACACTGTCCTGAATCACGGCCCTTGCCAATGCCCAATGCTGCTCCCCCTCTCGCGGCCTGCACCCCGCTTCCACAAAGTTCAAGAGTTCGTGCGTGGCTGAGGCCTCAACAGCCGCCATCGAAGCAAGGCCGCTCACACACATGACTACAGGTTCGCTGAAGTACTTTGTCACTTTGTGAACACTGGCGTTTCAAGAGCTGGACAAGTATCCGCTAGCGCGACAGAAAATGGGAAAACTTCACAGGCGAACAGCCACGCCCGTGAAAAGGGTGCGTGAGTTCATTCTCATGCAGAATTCTGAACTGAATTTACTGATCAGTGAGCGTGTTGTTGCCCGTGATGTCTAGTCTTGTTCATGCGTTTTCGCCCGGCCTGATGCACACGACACCGCGCCTCCCCCTGGCCCACAGTCAAGTCCTATGTTGTAGACCCGGGATGGTTGGGTCGGAGCTGACACTGCAGAGGGGCTGTAATGTAAACTACGAAGTTAGCTCGGAAGTGCAGTTCTTGCGGCAGGATATTCGGCGTTGCTGGTAGTTTTCGTTTGAGTCGGCACCCGCGGCAGCTTGCTGTGAAATCAGGGCGGGAGAGGCTCTCCAACGTGTGGCAGAGGCAGGCTGCATGTGCCAAGATGCTGATCTGTCACGGCTTGCGCAGGGTTGATGCGATGTCTCAAAGTTGAGTGCCATGGGAATGCCAAATTATGCTGGAGAGTGCTACATGAACCACATCGGGGTCCTGTGAACGGCAGTAGGCCAGGCACTGAAGCACTGAAGCAGCGGCACGGTGAAGCACAGTAGCTTTCGCAATCTTGACACAGTATCGTGCTCCGTGCAGGCAGAGAGGCGCATTTTCAAACTGGCCGAGGAGGCTGTGGCAGCCGAATTGATTCGCTTTGCTCTTCCGTGAAGGTTGCTGTTCACACACTCTCCGTTCGAGAACTGAAAAGTGGGCGGTGAGCTTGAATCTTCGAGAACAGGAAACGCTTCATTTTCGTTCTCAGGCCGGGCCTAAAATGAGTCTATTCCTGCCATTCCTGCCAAACAGCATCCTTTTGTCCTGGCTTGAGCAGGCTGCAACTTTGTACAACTCTCGCTGCGCCATATTTTCAGGTTTTTTCGGGGCTTTAAGGTTTTTCGGATCTTTAGGTGTAATTGGGGTCTTCAGGGAGGCTTTCGGGCCTTTAAGGGTGTTCGGCTTTAGGGTTTTTTTAGGCTTTAGGGCTTTTAGGGTTCAGGGTTTTTAGGGTTTAGTGTTTTCAGGGTTAGGGTTCTTCTGGGTTTAGGGTTTGTTTCTTTTTTTTTGGCGGGGTTTTGCTTTTCAGTTTAGGGTTTAGGGTTTTAAGGGTTTTCAGCTTTTTAGGGTTTCAGGGTTTTTCAGGGGGTTTAGGGGTTTTAAGGCTTTTCGGGTTTTTAGGGCTTCAAGGTGATTAGCGTTTGTTGGGATTTAGGGTTTTCCGACTCGCCCCTTCGGGTTTTCTGACTCGGGGCGTGTTTTTCTTGACTTGCATCGAGCAAAGTGCAGAGCAGGCCCTCCTGAACCCTGCCTGCACAGTCGTTGTGGGCGTCGGCTTGCAGCCTTGAAGGGGTGTGAAGGGTGTGAAGGGTGTCTTGGAGTCTTGGGGAGCTTTGTGGTGAGGGACCAACGCCGCTTCGAAAGAAGTTCCCTAGCCAGGTGGCGACCCTCGCTGAGGCTCACAGCGCTCAGGCGGCTGAGCAAAGACAAGAAGAGCCCCCAAGAGATGGGAAAAGAGAGAGAGAGACTGCGAGTGAGATCGAGACTCCTTTCGGTGACCATAAGCTGGCGCTCGCTTGGTTCGAGCGGGAACTTGAGGCATTAAGGCCCACGAGCATCGCCCCGCTTCATGCCCACCCGGCACTAGCTTCACTAGCTCTGGTACTTCGACCACCACATGCGGAGTGGAAGGAGGTACGAAGATGCTAACCGAAATGGTTGAGTTACCCGACTTGCAGGATGGATGCAAGTGCAAGGGCAAGTTGCGAGGAAATGGGAGAGAAAAGGAGAACTGCGCCCACTGGACACCCCGCTGAATAGCCGTTTCGCACAGAGTGCTAGGTCAGTGAATTTGAACCCGGTGCAATCCGATCTTTTCGATTTAAAGGCTTGATGCATGTCACCAGGTAGTTTACGGGCCGTCAGCATTTTGGGGTTTGAGTGCTTCGTTCTTTAGAGTAGAAGAAGACCCATGTATGTCAGAACATTTGTAAGTTTGTGCTTGGGAATAAGATTCTGTAAGATTACGCTGTTGGCTTTAATGGGGGTGGGCTTCAAAATGAGTGCTTTGTGTGTGTGTGTGTGTGCAGCCGTTGAGGGACACAGGCAGGGTTCCCTGGAATGCTACTGCAAAGCACCCTCTGGCATCTGGAAAGCCAGTCCTTGAAAACATGCAAGTGTTGTTATTGTTGGCACGGCCAATCTGTTGTGAGCCTCGGCAGAGGAACGCTGCGTGTCCCGCTAAGAGACCTGACCCACACAGAGCTGCCGCAGGCGCCGCTTGGTGCAGAGGCCGCGACCGTCACTGAGTCGAACGGAAGCTGGTTACTATGCCTTTCCTCCTGTTTGTGATTCATGCAGTCAATGTTGAATCAGACTTGGGTTTGGAATAGCTTATAGCTTTGCATCTTTTCGGCATTATGCAGCTGTATTCTACAGAGTCCAAGCTGACAGATGACATGGGGGTTCGCTCTGTGTGTGTGTGTGTGCGCGCGCGAGGATGCGCTGGTGGCAAAAGACCTCCTGGAGGCTCGCGAGCGGCAAGCCTGGGGCGAAAGACAATTTGACCCATCACTCGCAACACCCGCAGTGTCAAAGTTCTTGTTTCTCAAAGGTCGCAATTGGGGTCCCCACTAACAGAGCCTGGGCGACGTGCGGCGACGTTCTTGAGGCCCTTGCACCAGCCGACGGCGCCGACTCCGCCGACTCCGCCGGCGCCGCAGATGCGGGGGAGCTGCCGCAGGCCACGCCGCCACCGCGCAGAAGCCCTCAAACCACCAACAAATAGCAGTGTTTCGTCAAGGCAGGTGCGGGGTTCCAATCCAAGGCGATTCGCAGTCTGCAAATGAACGACGAGAGTTAATCTACTGCCAGAGTTGGGCGAGAGGGGCGCAACCTGAATCAAGAAAGCTGAATCTGATTATTGAGAAGTCTGAAGTCTCCGGCTCCTCTCAAAAGGGGACACACAATGTTCTTGCGCGCTTCCGTGAGATGTGTGAGGGCAGCTTGTTGCAGATTCGCGCAGGCTTCGGATCCAGAGTCAGGCGCCCGCGAAGCGCGGGAAAGCGCCCTACGAGGCCGCACGCAAAACACAACTCCGGGTTCGCAGCTCTTCGACGCTCTTCAGGTTTTCAATCTTGGGGGGACGCACGAGATGCTGTTGCTTAACTGCCCCCCCCCCCTTCCCCCCCAAAATGCCGAGATAGTTTTGGGAATTCCTCTGCAGGCCTCGACGCTCTGCTCGAGCGCCTGGGCGGTCTTGAAGCCAAGGCGAGGAGAGCAGAGTGTTTGAGGTGCAACCACTTGATTCAAGGCCCGCTTCTCGTCTCAGGGAAAGTTGGAAGGGGAAACTGCTGGTTCTCTCCTCTTGATTTCCTAGATTGCGCAATCTTGCGCATGATTCCCCATCACATCAGGATCTGGGTTGTGGCGGTAGTTTTCTGGCCTTTCCTTTTTTGGTCTTTTTTGGTTGCAAGGAAGGGAAGAAGGACAGAAAGAAAGACCAAAGGAATGCTTCATCTTTATTTCCGCGAACCCTTCTGAACCCCTCAACCCCCCCCAAAACCTCAAAGCAGCCCCCAAAACCGCATGCCCAAACCCGCGACCCTGAAACAAACGTAAATCCTAAGCCCTAAGCCCTCAACATGGGGGTGTGGTACCCCAAACCCTTTTCCCTAAACCCTAAACCCTAAACCCTAAACCCTAAACCCTAAACCCTAAACCCTAAACCCTAAACCCTAAACCCTAAACCCTAAGCCCTAAACCCTAAACCCTAAACCCTAAACCCTAAACCCTAAACCCTAAACCCTAAAGGGAGTTCGGGGGAGAAGCCCAGTGCCAGGTATCGAGCCACGCAGAGTCCATGCAACGCCTTCGGCAACGAATGGAAAGCAGCGAGAGCAAGGCACAAATTGCATTGCATCAGGGTTTAGGGTTTAGGGTTTAGGGTTTAGGGTTTAGGGTTTAGGTTTAAAGGCGCTATGGCCGAGCAGGGACAGACATCATCTTCAAGAGCCAATTGAGAGATTTTTTAAGAGCCCTCCATTAAGGCCTTCAATTAAGCCTTCAATTAAGCCTTCAAAAAACCTGAGAGCTGACGTGGAACTCCTCCTTTCAACAGATCTCCTTTTCATTACGTAGGAGGGATTTCATTCGACAATTGTTCTGCCCCTTGCCTTCTCTCTCTTTTTGCAGAGCAGTACGCCCAGCAGGCCTCCAGCCAGGCGACTGCCCTCGCGGAGCTCTCGGCGGTCCTCGCACGCCAGGTCCAACGTGCAGAGTCCATCCGCCCATCTCTCCCTCTCTCTCTCTCTCGCTCTCTTTCTCTCTCGCTCTCGCTCTCTCACTCACTCTCTCTCTCTCTCGCTCTCGCTCTCTCTCTCTCGCTCTCTCTCTCTCGGTCTCTCTCTCTCTCTCTCTCTCTCTCTCTCTCTCTCTCTCTCTCTCTCTCTCTCTCTCTCTCTGTCTTTATCTCTCCATGTGCACCATCTCTGTTTGCACCCCCCCCCCCCCCCCCAAATGGGTGTTCGTTTGGCCCACATGCACCATCACTGGCAACAACAGCGTTCTACTACCACTCAGCGAGATGGGAGGGGACAGGAACGAGGACAGATATGATGAGGACAGATAAGATGAGGAGAGGAGAGATGGCTGGAAAGGAGGCTTCTGGCTTTTGAGGCCGCCATTGTCCCGAAAAATACAAAGACAAGCTGAACCTAGGATTCCAAGAAAAGTGGATTGAGCTTGTTGTATTGCAAGACGAGGCGAGTCTGCTTTTCCCTCCTCGGAGCCTTAGTCGAACGGGCATGCCCAGCAAGTATATACTTGGGGACAGGGTGGGGGATGCTCGAAATGATAACTTCTCCTGGTTCGATTGCGTGATGGAATCTGGCAAGTGGTCGTCCTGGAGGGTTTGGAGATTGCAGGCCGCGTCGCCGCTCGATGGCCCTCTGGCCAGCGGAGAGGCATCGCGCACCACGTCGCACCGTGAAACGTGCCACGTGCATCCACATGCACGCGCTTGGCTCCAGGGCGCCAATACTTTTACCTACTACAGGCATGTGCGCTTTGCACTTTGCACCTTGCGCAAGGACTTGCAAGTCTCGCAGGCGGAGGCAGAAGCCAACGTGCAGCAGGACCAGTTGTCGGTTCTCAGTGCTGTCGCTGTTGATTGATTTGCAGATACTCCCATAATCCAAGCAATATCCAGCGATGTAGAAGTACAATTTGCTTTCTACTCATTTTTGGACTCGTCGTCTCTGTGAGGGGTTGCACGGCCGTGTGCGAGCTGGGCATATGGAAGCAACGTCTGACTAGACCGCGTTTCATCACCGCAAAGCTGCGATGGAGCTCCCAGCATGAATCAACGCTTTACAAATTCTAGGTTGCCTGTCATCCAGAAACTTCATGGCCTTCCGATGTGGAGGACAGATACGGTAAACGCCTTCCTTACTCAAACAGCAAGCACCATCCTCGTCAGCTGCGCTGGCGGGAGCATGGCGCCAGTGCAGCAGTGTCTGCAGCATACCAATGAAATGCTGCCCAATCCAGGGTTGGGGGCCATGCGCAGAATGCAGATTGTCACGGACAGGACTGGCCTGTGTATTGTTTCACCCATTGAGGACTAGAACTGCTCGTCCCATGCCAGCGTGTCACTAGCGAATGATCTGTGGATCTGATCCGGCATTGTCCGGCCACTGGAGCACAACAATCCGAGGATGTAGCCAATGTAGCCAACATGCAATCAACACAACCCGAATGCTACCAGCATCGGCACTGGATATGCTTGCCAGTTTCCAAAGGAACAAAGGCATCGTCTGCAGCTCGGCCACCTTTTTTTTCCGTGCTCCGTCCGGTTAGCTGGTCCTGCAGTGATGTCCAATCTGTTGTAGCCGCAGTGGCCAGCAGGCACCTGGCTGTGTTATTTGTAGGCAGACAGCTTTTTTGCGCCTGTAAGCGAGCTCTTCTGCTCACCAATTGAAAATCTCCTGTAGAAGGGGCCCTGCAAAAAACCCTCACAAAACCAAGAGAGTAGAGTATCACCTCCTTCGAATCCCTGGAGACACCTGCAAAGGATCCCACAGAGTCCCCCTTGGAGAATCCCACGAAGTACTGCGTCCCTGTGGAGTGCCCACCCTCAGAACCCCGCGGAGAATCTCCAGAGTCTGCCCCCCGAGAACCCAACACTGCACCCGCAGAGTACCCCCACGGTGGGGTGCGATTTCTCCGGTACGCCTCCCAACCAAAGCCCACGGGGAGTACGCGCAAGGGGCCGAACCATTGTTGCACACACCAACTGCTTAGAAGATGGCTGCAACATGCAGAGAAAGAATGGTAGAGATCTTGCATAGCTGAACCTGGGATGCACTGCACTGGCACGTGCCACGGCTGTTATCGCTTGGTCACAGTGCACCACAGAGAGAGGACCTGGACCCACACGAAACATCGCGCGAGCTGCAGCAAGCGCCTGGTGCTGCTGCGGAGGCCGTCGCGGTCTGCATTTCTTGCCTGATGATGCTTTGCAAGAAGCCCCAACTCCGGGCTTTGCCCCAAGCTTCTTGCTGAATCATTGCTCGGTCGTTGTACATCCAATTGCAGATACGAACACTCAACCCTACCTCACATGCGTGCATTTAATGCGAGATGCCCGATGCCTTTCTACAAATAGGAGATCCTTCAACTTTCTGCCTTGAGGCGCCGCTCGCAGCTTCACACGAAGGCAGCCTTGTTGGGAGCATCGTTGGCCGTGTGATCTTTTGCAGTTGCTCGGACTCATGCATGTTGTAGGACTTGTAGGCTTGACGGCACTTGACGGCCAGGGTTCGCTCGGCTGCTTGCCCTGGAAGACAAGGCCCTGCGGTGCTGTAGCGACCGGCACATCATCAGCCGCACTGTTGCAGCGTTTCATGCTGCTAGCCATGGCTTGACTGCACCATTGGCAAACATGAGAAGTTTCCCCTATGGCTATGGGTTTCCCAAGCTCAAAGCGAGTGATGTTCGCGGTTCTTAACTTTGTCGGCCATCCTTGCTCTGGGTGCCATCGAGCCAGAAGTGCAAGCTGTCTAAGCTGTGCAAGCGGTGCATGCTTTCGCTAGGTGGCAGCTCTCAGCAACAGCCATCAAGAGGCACCGCGACACAAGGGGACTTGAAACGAAAGATGTTGGGGCCGTGCTTCGGGATCCTGCGTAAGCTGCTCAACACTTAAACTGAAGCCCTTGAGGAGAAGTTGGGTAAGCTGAGATCAGACGCCACAAAGTGTCTCAAGTACATGGGAAACAGCCCAGGTTCAGCAGGTGGTGCAGTCGGTGAGTGCCTTGCAAGCACAGGCCTGGGATCGTTAGCATGTCTTCATAGAGAACAGCAGGCTGCAGACATGCTGTGCTGTTCCGTCTCAGAGTCGAGCTGGCAGGCAGTCGACCGACCCCCAGTGGAAGATGTTCAGGCAAGCCAAGCCGACACCCATGCACGCCTCTAGCCGAGCAATCAACCCAAAACTAGAGGATCTGATCGCGTGGGCATTTCTCCGCTTTCAACCGTCAAGTACAAGCTGTGCGCCCAAACAGCTGCGTGCAATCTCGTGAAACGGCTCTTGCTGTTTGGACGTGTCGGCTCCTTGGGGAGGGGGGGGGGGGCAGGGGGCTGACTACCATTTGCATAGCTTCGCAGACTTATGCAGATACATAGATAGCAAATTCTGCAGCAGCAAGACGGCAAAGCAAGGCAAATCATCAAATCCTGAATTGTTAAGTGCAAGGCCGGAGCTAAAAACTGCCCAAGGAGTGAGGTGGAAAACTGCCCAAGGAGTGAGCTGTCAAACGCAAGGCGCGCGCTCCAAAATAGGCTTGTGCAAAAGCGTCGCTTGCAAGCTGTATAGCATGAACCGCTTCAAATTGCAGAGTTTCAGCCGTGTGGAAGTGCAAGACATGAAAGGGGGAAGCATTGGGAAGCAAAGGAAAGCATGATTCCTCCAGTCCTACGGCCACACTTTGTCACGAAGTGTCACGAACCTGCCCACATTGGAAGCCTTGAAGGAAACCCTTGCTGGGACATTTCTGATGCTCTTTGGGCATTCAACGGGCAGAGTAAGCAGAGCTTCTTTCTCCAGTGCTGAACTTGTGGGATGCTAGTTAGTTAAGTGAGGCTCTACCGCACGGGCGAAACATGACAGCAAAAGACGCTCGGTGATTTTTTCGTGGAAGGTTGACGGAACTGGGGAGGGGAAGGAGAACTCCGGCGTGATGCAGGCCTGGGATCAAACAGGAGTTCTTGATGCAGCGGGATTAAAGCTGCCATCATGGTTCAGTATTGCCTTCTCTCTCTCTCTCTCTCTCTCTCTTTCTCTGAAGCTGCTGAACTATCTGCCGTTCCTTGTGGCCACATATTTCGATGCAGCAGTTGTGCAGCGCTGTGCGAAGTCGTTGCAGGCTCTTCGCGATGAGGTGGGACACATCGAAGTTTTGCGTTGTGTGATAAGGGGATAAATACACTACAGTGTGCTATACAGCTTCTTGCAAAGGGAAGGCGCTGAACAAGTTTGTTTTTGACTGCACATGCGGGGTTTGCAACGACTGGGTTCCGCGCATTTTGTCTGGCAAAGCGCGTGCGTGACTTTCGCGTGAGGTGCATAAGCTGCATTAGGGCCGAACGACTGCTACGGTATTGACCCGCGGATTGTGGCTCCTTGCCATGGTCATTCCTTCTTCCCCCAGCATGGTGCCACCCTACTCTGTCGTCCTGCTCCGGTGCCACTCCCAGAGCAGTGGCAAGTTTTTCCACATCTGAACATCTGACTCCTCTTCCGTGTTTGTCTTTGCTCCCACGGTTGATCACGGTTGTTCACTCCGGTGGTCTGATTGCTGAGAGGGTGCTCCGACCTTAGAGCGCAAGGCTGCCTCGTCTTGTCAACATCTGTCTCTCTCCTTTTGGCGGCGTCCCCTTTTGCCGGGGACTCGCTTGCCCTGCCTGGCTGTTTGGCTGCGGCTCGCCTCTCGCGAAGCAACCCGCCCCAACAAGCACGCGAACAAGCGCACTTCAGCACACTGGGACAGCGCCTTGCTCGCTCAGCCGGAGCCTCGCTCGAAGGGGTGCGCCTGCGGAGCACAGGGTTGGGCGATGTCCAAGAGATCGCCAGAATGCTAGATTGATTTTGCAGAGGCAGAGTTTTTTTTTTGCGGGGGGGTTAGGGCTAACGGAAAGGGCGATGAGCAGACCTTCGTTAACTGTTGTGAAACAGAAGTATCGTTTTTCGCAGGAGTGGGCAAGACGAAGTAATTCAACTGCAATTCCTTGCGGTTATTTGTCAACATTACTGGAAGAGTAGCGGAGTACAGTCGCCCGCAAGCGAAACGAGGTCCGAGACCTGGCAACTGCCCTCGCATCGCAGCGCCAGCGCTTGGATGCGGCTTTGGGCAGCGAGGCAGATGTGACATACAGCGTGTTTGCAGTGTTTTCGCAGTGTTTGCAGTGGAGGAAAGTCCCAGAAGAATTTTGGGAGCGGAAGGCTTTTTTTTGTGCATGTCAAAAAACGACCCCCCCCCTTCCCTCTTTAGATTGGAATTTCGGGGGTTCAGGTAACAAGTGGGGAGTTTGTCTAAACAGCAGGACGCACCACACCGGTACATTTCCTCTCTATTGTTCATACAGCTCCGCCTGAGGAATCGCCTGGTGAAGGTGCCCTGCACAAAGAGGTGCCCTCTGTTGCAGAACTTGTCTTCTTGGGGCATTCTATTCGTGGCAGTGGGTGCATCGGGTCGATTTGTGATTGCACCGCCGTGGCTGCACAATTGCAGGCAACGCCGATCTCGAACAATTTCATTTTCCGGGGATGAAAGAGAGAGTCCTGAAGGGCTCTCACATCCTTCGAAAGAAGTCTTCAAAGACATCTTCACCACTGAGCCCCGTGGTGCTCGGGAGTAGCTGGTAGCTACAACTTCTCCTGTCATCCTATACTCGGAAAGTACCGTGCTTTTTGCAGCGCTGCATCTGATGCTCTACGAGGTGTCGTCTGTCTGGAAAGAATGGCAGCAATCTCCACAGCCAAGACTAAGTTGTCATTCCGGGGTATGTTCAGGCTGCCGGGTCTTGTGCAATCTGATGATGATCTCTACTCCCTCTCACTGCCGCCTGCACAGCTCTCGGACCAGCTTACTCTCCGCCACTCTTCCTACTCTTCCTCCTCTTCCTCCCGCAGCGAGTTGAGGGTTCAGTCAGAGAGATCACCAGCACAAAGTGGTTTAGGTTTAGGGGTTAGGGCTTAGCCCCCTTTGTGTGTCAAGGCCCCTGGCCTGTTGATGTGCCAGGTGCGGCAGCTGTCGGAGTCGCTCGCCGCTTTGAGGGACCTGCAGCCCGGCCGCTGGGCGGCACTCTGGGCGGCACAGGGCGGCGGCACCTTTTTTTGCAATTTTGGCAAAAAATGGTTTCGGATGGGAACTTAAATCGTAGCTCAACGGCGCACCCGGCGAGTGAGAACCGCGACGGCCAAGCCAAGAAAAGAAAGATGTGGCTCATTGGAGGGCCTTTCAATTTTATGCACAACCGAGAAATGGTGGAGGTGGTGGTTTCTTCCCGTTTGAGCGGTGCGGGCAACCCACAAACAGTGTACGTCGCCGAAAGCCGAACGGACAGAGATGACTTGCACACCGCCGCATTGTGCTCTCAATTTTCGTGCTCAGCTCTGTGCAAGTGAGAGCAAAGAGGGGGACGGGGCCCACGGATGTGAGACACGGAGGACATCACGACATCAGGAAGTAAAGTTACGAGAGAGCCAAAACGCCCAACACAGCAGAGACCAATTGCCGATTTTATTAACACCACAAGAGAATATGATAACCTGAGTGTGAAAAGTGCTCTCCAAAACCAGCATGCCATTTCAGCTTCCACAGCCAAGAATCAGCACTGCGTGCAACAGCGTGCAACGCAGACGAGCGCCACTCACGAAGGCGTCCCCACATTGCAGTGCACGAGGCCAGCAGCCAGACAAGGGTGGAGGAAGAAATGCCGCCAAGAACACACCAGATCCCAGAACCGAGATGACAGGAACGAATGAGGGGTAGACTGGAGGCCTGTATCTCACCCATGTCATGGCTTGGGCGTGAGTGTCCAAAAGCTTACAGCAACAACAAACCCTGAAGCTGCAATCCTCGAGTTTTTGAGCTTGAACAATCCTGAAGCCAACGCACTCAAATAGCACAGCAAGCACGCCAAGCGCCGAGTGCGGTGCAGCCAACGACCTGAAGACTTGGAAGGCGGACAACTCGGATAGCACCGGGGGATGGGGTGTTGGAGGGGCATGTGCTCTCTGCTGCAACACCAAGGCTATCCGGAGATGGAGGCTGAGGCTCCGAGTCTTTGCCCCTTGTTGCGAGGAGGGATGGGGTGCATGTGGCGCATATCCACTGTTTACTCCTGTAGTTTGATTTTGCTTGTGGCTTGTCACATATGAATTGTATGGACTATGATTCGATGAGAATTTGTTCGCGAGCAAGGACTCGGAAGCCTCCCGTATGCTACACGAGGTTTTCTCTTGTTAACCACACGGATTAGCTAACCCACATGTCAATGAGCAGCGACAGAAAACACGAGAGCTCAAGAGATATAAAGCATGGGCCGCATGCCTCTCCGCCTTGCCGGAGGTGCAGCGCCTGGCTGCAGTCATGGAAGAGCTCCAGCGCCAGGCTCGGCCCCGAAAAGCCCAAACTGGCTTGTTCCAGCATTTCAGGTTTGAAACCTCGTAAACGACGGTCAGAACGTTGACGCTTGAGTAGCTAGGCGTCAAGACCATCCTGGCATGGTGTTTGGAAATATCTGGAAAGTCCACCCAAAAAAAAGGCTTCCGGACATGGAGAGAGCCATTGGCCCCGGAACAACGACAAGACTACTAAAGCACTCGCATCGAAAGTCACGAAAAAGCCAGCTCCGAGGAGCTTGCGGAAGTGGTTGCTGCAGTTTCTTTTGTCAAATGAGAGTTTAGGTGACCTTGGATCCTTTTGTAGCAGGGACTTAAGCTCATGGCTGCGGCGCGGGGGCCCTTGCTACCTCCATGCTACTCCATGACTCATCCACCCTGCTCTCAAGTGTGGCGTTTCGCGCAGGTGGACACAGGCCTTCAGCTGCAGCAGGAGGCTGGACAAGCTGGCTAGGATCGCAGGCTCCGCACATTGTTCCGAAAGCCCTTCAACCACTCACCCAAATCTGCTGCCCGCCTGTAGTGCACCGTAAGCCTCATGCACGATGACTACAGCTGGTCAGCACGGTGAAGTTGTGTGAAAGAGCGGTGCTGAGAATTTCCAGTGTGAGGTGGAGCGCGTCTCGGCTTCTCTGTCCGAGTTACGGGCAAAGGCCCCCTGGCTTGGAAGGGCTCAGTGAGCTTAGCAACATGTAGCAACTGCTCAGAGCATTTCCCTGTAAGCTTCTCAAGGAAATGAGCGCCTCAGGTTATCAGGCTCGTCATGAAATCAAGACCTGAGTTGCTACATGTTGCTACATGAAGTGCCATGGAATCGAAGTTACCACCAAGGTCGAGGACAGATCCGTGCCGGAAGAGGTGCGGCGTTTCGATCAGACGGTTACAGCTTTGTTGATTCTTGGGCGGCCGGCCCAAAGGAGTCCAAAGGATTTTCCCAGGTTAGTCTGCCATCGGTGCAGCAGTGGCATGCAAACCTGAGTTCAAATAGGCCATCGTAGATTGGTTGTGGGCTGCAAACATGGCCAGCGAGCATAGGCGTCAGGAGCAAGTGTCGGGTAAAGCGAGAAAGACAATACATGACATCACTGTGATAACAACATGCTGGACACTGGCAGAGAGTTTGCCCCCTTCGCCCCCTAGTTTGCCCTTGTGATGGGAGATTTTCGCGCAGGTCCGGCGCCTTGGGGAAGCGGTGGCAAGCCTCGAGCGGTCCAAGAGTGGGGGCTTGCATCAGCAGGCCGCGAGTCGCTCAAGAGCCCAAATCGGCCGCGAAGGGTCCTGCCAAGAGTTTCCCTGTCTCTGAGAGAGCCCTGACAGAGAGCCCTGGCAGAAAGCCCTGACAGATCCCAAGCTTAGTCAGAGTTGTGTGCATGGGCGGAGGGAAAGTGGGGCAACCAGGCAGAAGCCTGTCCAGCCAGGGCACACGGCCGAACAGATGAAGTGGGAAACGTGGTAGCCTAGCCTTGCGTGCGTAGTGTTTCACCTCGGTAGGCTCTCGGCTCAGGGGTGACCATGAGGGTCGCTCTAGTTGTGTTATGTTCTGTCCTTCGCCCCTTGTGCGGGCTATGGCCTTTTTCTGCGGAAGAAAGTAACACTACCTGCGACAAAGCAGGAACATGTCCGAAAGAAGAAGCCGAGTCATCCTTTCCCCGTGGCTCGCCACCGAGCCCGGGAGCGAACTACTGGTGGTTTGACTGGACCTGGGAAGGGTCCACTGATCCTAAAACCAGTACACCTCGAGCGGATGATGCCCACTCCAAACGATGGTACCTCCGGCTTCTTGCCGGGGTGCTGTGGGAAATTTGGGAAGGAGGGCTGACCTGGTGTGGCACCCTGTGTGCCTCCATAGGCCTAGCAGCCCGGTGGACCTACTGGCTGGCCACCGCCACCATATTATTGGGGACGCTGCAATTGACCTATTGGTCTTATACTTGGGTCGTCCGCCCCCTGTTCGTGGTTTTCTATGCTATGGTGCAGTACCTCGCAGGAAGAGGATCATGGGATGCTGTGCTAAGAGGGCATGGCGAGAACCCATACCAGGTACGCTGGACGGGCCCGAAGGGGCAGCAACCTTGGTCCGTCAACTACGTTCAGGATCAAGTACGAGGACGCGGAGAACAGCAGCTGCCATACGATCTCCTCGTGACAGATGGAGTGGCCGTCGCTAGGATACGGCATGGAGCTATCCGGGGACGCACTAATCGTCATGGATTCCTCTGCCGCTGCGACAGCGTACACGGAGCATCCCATCGATATTGGAGGAGGTGCCTAGAACAAGCTCAATGTTTAGTGCATCTTTGCTCCTCAGACCCATGTAGCTCACCGGAGGCAGCTGAAGTGCATGTGCAGGCCAGTAGTGTCGTGCCACAAAGCGTCGACGTCGATCTAAACGAGCTGGCCGGGAGAGGCCCAGTTTGCCGCGCCTTCAATGCCTCAAAGTTTGTAGCTTTACAAGGAGTGGTAGGAATGTGGGGCTCCTACGTGGCCTGTAGTCGCTGGCTCGCCTCCTGGTGTTGTTGCTGCGGATCGAAGCCCCCGAGGCGCGGTCCGCGCCCGGGCAGCGAAGAGGAAAGAACCCCCCGCCACGACCTGTCAGAAACGGAGTCGGAGGAAGAAGACAACCCTTGCCAAGCCGACGTCGTCGCATGGAAAGAAGGTGCGCAGACTAAACGGCTCAGCAAGGAACGCTGTAAGGATGCAGCCTGCGGGTGGGTGAAACTCCTGAATGACGACAACCCACACAGCAGCAACGGAGAGTTGTATTGGGATGGGATGCAAGCCAGCTGTCAGCTATGTTCACGCCATCAAGAAAGTTACGCCCTGTCTAAGGCCCGAAGAGCTTGTTCGGTGGAGGGATGCGAAAGGGCGGCGCAAACGGTGCGTGGAGGAGTCAAGCTGTGTAAGATGCACGCTAGTAAAGAGGAAAGGGGTCCACCCGGCAAATTGAGCACGTCGACCTCCCGCTCCAGGGCCCTGCCGGAACCAGGAAAGAGGCGAACGTCCAGCCGTGGAGCGAATCGCGCCCGGCCACACTCTCAAGACGTGACACCGAAACGAGGATGCAGCCAGGCGGAGGCTGCTGAGCTAAGGGGAATATCGTCTCCGCCTCGCCTTGATGGGCCCTCCACCGAGGAAGGGCAGTTACCTCATGAGGCTATCGTCGAGGACCAAGTTTTGCAGGGCCTCACCTGGGAAGAAATCGCGGGTATCCCGGAGGAAGAGATGAGGAAACGGGCAATAGCGTTAAAGCAAACCGCCCCTACCATTGCCGTCTCTACCTTTGCCGGCCCTGGCAGCATAGGACGAAAGGAGCCACAAAGACAAGGGGACCCCGATCTCGGCCAAGCACTTTTCGAGTATCTCGAGGCTAGACTCCAGGGTAGCAGCCAAGCACAAGCCATCGAGTCTGCATCGGCGGGTAGGTGGACGCTCACGGAAGGGTCCCAGCGACTAAAGGAAGTAGCCCGGAAGCACTGCCTCCAGCTCTCCCAAGAGCTTCCCGCGGAATCGCGGCGCCTTATCTGGGAGCTTGCGCAGCTCCCGACTGAACACAGAGAAGTGCCCCTTGGCAGAACCGACCCGTGGGCTGGTCCAGCCCCGGGGGTAGCTTCTTGCGCCCGTGGGACACAGCCTCTCACTGACGCTGACGCTGGACCTGGAACTGGTTTTCCGGCCCAGTCCTTGTTCAGACCCCTCGCGCCAAGCATGGGCCCGGCCGGTCGAACTGACGCAGTAGACGCTCTCGCGCACGCCACCCGAGCTTTCCGAGCCGGAGCATATACTGACGGGGAAGCGCCTGCTCCCGACGAAACCACCAAGGCGCTTCAAGCGATAGCAAAAAGCCTGACCTCCAAAGAGGATTCCCTCGCGCAAGATCGGGGAAAACTCTCGTCTATAGGGCGCCTCGAGGAGCGCCTCGTCTTCTTGCTGCGAGGATGCGACACCTTGAGTGTTACTCTGTGTCCGGGCGTTGTCGGTAAAGAGCTATTTCACGCATTAAGGATTGCAGGAACTCAAGCCCGACCTCAGCTACGAAAAATTGAGTTTCCGTGCAACATCCAAAACAGGCACAGTTATGGGTTCGCTGCTCTGCAACTGGGGGGAAAAACCTTGAATACCCTGCCAGAGTACTGCCTTTCAGCCGGAGACTTTCCACTGACTTCCGAGGAAGATTTTGACAATTACGGGGGAACTCCGGACCTCAAGCTGGAAAAAAGGGGGCGGTACCCAAACACTCTCACTTCTTGGTTTCGCGCTGCGCTGCGACAGTCATGGGCCTTCGCTTGCCTGTTCGGGGAAGAGTATTACCCGGTCCTTGAGAAGGCCGCAGCCCACCTCTTGCGCCTGGGTGAACAACACGGATATGCTTGGCCGGCGTCGTCCGTTTATGGAGCGTGGGAGGAATTATGGGCACGCTTTTGTGAAGAGGCCCGTGAGCTCGATCGCCGAGTGCGTCGAGCGATGCAGGACGACACGCCCACCTTCGCGAGGCTAAAGTTTTTTGCCTTGTCCCCGGGACCTGATGGCCTGCCATGGCTCCAGCTGCCCGGGACGTTCCGGTTGGATGCTGATGCCCAGTACTTTTGTACGGACATACTCCCGCGCATGCAGCGCCAACTGTCTCGCGCCTGTTGGTCAGGCGCGCAAAGAAAGGGCGCCGTCAGTGGGGGCCGTGCGGCAGGGGATCCTGAACAAGCTGAGGCTCGTTCCGAGCCCGGCAATGCGCCAGCCCTCCCTCGAGCGGGCAGAGTAAAAAGCGAGCCCTCAGGCAGCGCAGTCCCCCCTAGGCTCCTGGGCCCTGGGCTTACACCCAAGGAGGCCTCCAGGTCCCTTGACCACCGGCCTAAGGATCAACAGGGACAGTACCTGTGTTGGGACTACCTCTGCCATCGCGGTTGCACTAAGGGCACCGCTTGCCCGCACTCGCACAAAGCTGCCCCCAAGTGGACCAGCCTGGACTATACACCGTCCAAATGCAGCTCCTTCGTCGAGGCGGCTTGAAGTCTTCAAAGACCAAAACGCCCGACGAGGTGGAAAAGGAGTTCACTCGTGTCCGGGCCGAGCAAACGGCCAAAGCCGCCGCCTCCAAACAAGAAGGGATAGCCCAAGCCGCCAAAGCCAAGACTGCGTCTGCGCAGCGGGCCGGGGAACGCGTTCAGACGGATGCTACGCCGCAAGACACCTCGGAAAGAGCATCCAGAGCAGGTCAGCGTACCAGCACTGCCGAAGAGTCGCCAGCAGGCCACATCGTTGCTGACCTTGAAGGCATCCTCCCCACGGATCGCGAAGAAACTCTCGGCTCTCGGCGCTCTGTTAAAACAGGAGGGTGCAAATTGGTGGAAGGACACTGATGATGGTGCTGCCACGCTCACGCGCGACAGCACGTCTTTCAAGGAGACCCCGCGGGCGGCCGTTATGCGGCAAGTTGATGCTGACGAAACCAAGCTAGGCCCCTTCCCGGAAGGTTTGGTCGGGGTGTATCTGCGGAATCGGCTTTTAAGGCAGCGCGAGGAAACCGGGACGGCCCCTGCCCTGGATGACGTCACTCGACTCCTCGAGGAGGCCGCCGCCCTTGGTGGACCAGAACTTGCCGAATCGGCTGCAAACCTGCTTGAGACCAGGGGTATACCCCGTAAGGTCGGAGAGAGGCCCGTTGTGCGCCTCTCGGATATTGCTTGGAATTCCTCCATTGGCGCTGGTACGCTCACTTGGACCGGCGTGGGGCACTGGGCCATGTTCGATTACAAAGACCAACTGCCAGTCTCCCCGGGGTTCTGCGACCGGCTGCATTTTGCACCTGCCGATTCGGAGCCCAAACAATGTCTGTTGCTCCACGTAGCGGCCGCGTATCTCAGTGGTGCCAAAGCGGCGCTTCCCACCGAGGCTGCAGTGCACTCTCTGGCTCTGGCATGGCGGGAGCGTTGGTATAAGCAAGCTTGCGTGGCAGAGGATTCCCTTGGCCCAATACCTGCTCGCATCGCTCAAGCCGAGGCGGACCTGCGCGTCTTCCATCACGACTTGCTGCATTTTGGGCATGATCGAGACTACCGCACGCTGCTGGCGCACCCCCTTGAGGAATGGACAGCGCTCGGGTTGGCCGTGCTGCGTCTTGACGCTTACCTGCGCCCTAGCGTCGAGGTCATCTGCGGCCGCGACTACGACGGCGCGGCGGCTAATACCCGGGGTCCTCATTCACCGGGGCCATATGCGTTTGTTGCGCCCGGAAGGCCCGTGCGC